CCGCAAGCCGCTTGCTCAAAAGGGGTCCGGGACCTCTTTTGAAGAAGCGGCTGCGGGGAAAACGATCTCCCCGCAGCCGCTTCTCAAAAGGGGTCCGGACCTCTTTTTGAAGGAAGCGGTTCGGGAGAAAAGTCCGATCTCCCCGCAGCGCTTGCTTCAAAAGGGTCCGGACCTCTTTTTGAAAAGCGCTGCGGAAAAATATCTCCCGCAGCCGCTTGCTTCAAAAGGGTCCGGACCTCTTTTGTAAAGCGGCTGCGGAGAAAGCGATCTCCCCGCAGCCGCTTGCTTCAAAAGGGGTCCGGGACCTCTTTTGAAGGAAGCGGCTGCGGAGAGAAGCGATCTCCCCGCAGCCGCTTGCTTCAAAAGGGGTCCGGGACCTCTTTTGAAGCAAGCGGCTGCGGAGAGAAGCGCAGCCGCTTGCTTCAAAAGAGGTCCGGGGCAGCGGGAAGCGCTTCCCGCTGCCCCGGACCTCTTTTGAAGCAAGGGGCGGTGGGGAGAAGCGATCTCCCCGCCCCTTGCTTCAAAAGAGAAGACCCGCTGTCCCCGGGGCAAGCTTCGTTTTGCGAAGCAAGCCCATAGGGAAATTCGTCTTGCGAGGCAACTCGAAAACGAAAAAACCTTTCGTTTTGCGAGTTTTTCGTCTCGCGAGGCGTTCGTCTTGCGGGGTACCACTGTACCTCTGTTGATGGAGCCTAGAATAGCATTAGGTTTTCCCGCCCACAGCCGAGCAGCGTTCCGAAGCGGGGCGGCTGGGCAGGTGTTCCCTGGACCTCTTTTGAAGGAAGCGGCTGCGGAGAAAGCGATCTCCCCGCAGCCGCTTGCTTCAAAAGGGTCCGGACCTCTTTTGAAGAAGCGGCTGCGGAGAGAAGCGATCTCCCCGCAGCCGCTTGCTTCAAAAGAGGTCCGGGACCTCTTTTGAAGCAAGCGGCTGCGAGAGAAGCGATCTCCCGCAGCCGCTTGCTTCAAAAGGGTCCGGGACCTCTTTTGAAGCAAGCGCTGCTGTAGAGAAGCGATCTCCCCGCAGCCGCTTGCTTCAAAAGGGGTCCGGGACCTCTTTTGAAGGAAGCGGCTGCGGAGAAAAGCGATCTCCCCGCAGCCGCTTGCTTCAAAAGGGGTCCGGGACCTCTTTTGAAGCAAGCGGCTGCGTAGAGAAGCGATCTCCCCGCAGCCGCTTGCTTCAAAAGGGGTCCGGGACCTCTTTTGAAGAAGCGGCTGCGGAGAAAAGCGATCTCCCGCAGCCGCTTGCTTCAAAAGGGGTCCGGGACCTCTTTTGAAGGAAGCGGCTGCGGAGAAAAGCGATCTCCCCGCAGCCGCTTGCTTCAAAAGAGGTCCGGGACCTCTTTTGAAGCAAGCGGCTGCGAGAAAGCGATCTCCCCGCAGCCGCTTGCTTCAAAAGGGGTCCGGGACCTCTTTTGAAGGAAGCGGCTGCGGAGAAAGCGATCTCCCCGCAGCCGCTTGCTTCAAAAGGGTCCGGGACCTCTTTTGAAGGAAGCGGCTGCGGAGAAAAGCGATCTCCCCGCAGCCGCTTGCTTCAAAAGGGTCCGGGACCTCTTTTGAAGGAAGCGGCTGCGGAGAAAAGCGATCTCCCCGCAGCCGCTTGCTTCAAAAGGTCCGGGACCTCTTTTGAAGCAAGCGGCTGCGTAGAGAAAGCGATCTCCCGCAGCCGCTTGCTTCAAAAGGGTCCGGGACCTCTTTTGAAGAAGCGGCTGCGGAGAAAAGCGATCTCCCGCAGCCGCTTGCTTCAAAAGGGGTCCGGGACCTCTTTTGAAGGAAGCGGCTGCGGAGAAAAGCGATCTCCCCGCAGCCGCTTGCTTCAAAAGGGGTCCGGACCTCTTTTGAAGGAAGCGGCTGCGGAGAGAAGTGATCTCCCCGCAGCCGCTTGCTTCAAAAGTCCGGGACCTCTTTTGAAGCAAGCGGCTGCGTAGAGAAGCGATCTCCCCGCAGCCGCTTGCTTCAAAAGAGGTCCGGGACCTCTTTTGAAGCAAGCGGCTGCGGAGAAAAGCGATCTCCCCGCAGCCGCTTGCTTCAAAAGGGTCCGGGACCTCTTTTGAAGCAAGCGGCTGCGGAGAAAGTGATCTCCCCGCAGCCGCTTGCTTCAAAAGGGGTCCGGGACCTCTTTTGAAGGAAGCGGCTGCGGAGAAAAGCGATCTCCCCGCAGCCGCTTGCTTCAAAAGGGGTCCGGGACCTCTTTTGAAGCAAGCGGCTGCGGAGAAAAGCGATCTCCCGCAGCCGCTTGCTTCAAAAGGGGTCCGGGACCTCTTTTGAAGGAAGCGGCTGCGGAGAGAAGCGATCTCCCCGCAGCCGCTTGCTTCAAAAGGGTCCGGGACCTCTTTTGAAGGAAGCGGCTGCGGAGAGAAGCGCAGCCGCTTGCTTCAAAAGAGGTCCGGGGCAGCGGGAAGCGCTTCCCGCTGCCCCCGGACCTCTTTTGAAGCAAGGGGCGGTGGGGAGAAGCGATCTCCCCGCCGCCCCTTGCTTCAAAAGAAGAGACCCGCTGTCCCCGGGGCAAGCTTCGTTTTGCAAAGCAAGCCCATAGGGGGAATTCGTCTTGCGAGGCAACTCGAAAACGAAAAAACCTTTCGTTTGCGAGTTTTTCGTCTCGCGAGGCGTTCGTCTTGCGGGTACCACTGTACCTCTGTTGATGGCCTAGAATAGCATTAGGTTTTCTTGCTGCTGCATCACACTTTTGACTCATGTTACCCTTGGGGTTTACTAAGAGCCCTAGATCCTTTTCACATGTACTACTGGCAAGCCAGGTATCCCCCATCTTATATTGGTGCAGCTGGTTATTCCTGCCTGTGCAGAATGTTACATTTGTCCCTATTGTTAGTTAGTTTTGACCCAGATCTCCAATCTGTTAAGGTCATTTTGAACCCCATTCTGTCTTCTGTGGCATTAGCTAGTCCTCTCAGTTTGGTCTTCATCTGCAAATTTGATTAGCATCCCCTCAATTCCTTCGTCCAAGTCATTTATAAAGATGTTGAACAACAACAGTCCCAGGATAGGACCCTGCAGTACACCAATTGTCACTTTTTTCCAGGCTGATGAGGAATCGTGAGTACTCTTTAAGTTCAGTCAGTCAACCAGCTACAAATCCACCTAACTGTTATCTTGTCCAGTCCACATTTTGCCAGCTTCTCTGCACAAATATCTTGGGGACTTCATCAAAAGCCTTACTGAAATAAAGATACACTACGTCCATAGTAGTCCTCTGATCTATCAAGCTTGTAACTAAGGAAAAGAATGTGAGATTAATCTGGCACGACTTGTTTTTGAGAACCCCATGCTGGATCTTAGTAATTACAGCTTCCCTTTTTAAGTGCTCACAGACCTAAAACTTACCCAAGAACAATGAAAAGGGACTCACTTGATTAACTTCTACTCCTGCTTTTCACATTGATAACAGGGGTCTTGAAACACTGAAGTAATACTATGAATACCATAGTATTATACATCATTCATTATCTACCTACCAGTGGGTGTTTCAATCAGAGCCCTTTCTGAAGCACGGCGTTCAGCATTTTGCATATTGTGCATAGTTTCCTTTAGATCTTGAGTCATGAGTCTTCTTTCCTCAGTGAGCTGCTGTAGTTTATGTTCTACAAAATAATAATGTATGCTGAAAAAACTACACAAAGTATTATTATGCAATACGTATGTAGTATTAACTGGGTATTTTAAAAATAAATATTTACATTTATAATGCTAGTTGCTCAAATTCCATCATACTTGTTATCTCAGTAATCAGAACAGCAGCCTTCTAAGACTCATCAGTATGAATAAGCCATGTTAGTATTTAAGCTCAATTGTATTGAAATGACCTGAAATCCAAAGTAGGTATGTTTTAAAAGTATACCTAACAACATGAAACATTACAGCAAACATACCACTGATACTGCCTGGTTCGGTAGCTGCAAGTGTCTGAGCTTCCTGTAGCTCTTTCCAATTGGATTCCAAGTTGGCCTGTAAACGCTGCTTCTTAACAGCTAATTCAAATAATTCTTTTTCTGTGAACAGAAATGTTTTTGAGTTATGTCTTCAAAAACAATTTCAAGTGTCCTTATTGGTCACAAAGTCACACAAGAAAAATATACTCAAAAACTTAACTATTTCAAAGAAATGGAAAAAAACCCTTTCCATCTGTAATTGCAGATTAGACATTTTAAGGGGGAAAGGCTAAAGGAAATGATTGTGAAATATAGCAAAGAAACTTCATGTGAACTTAAGCCTGTGAAAATGTCTACTATATTGACAGACGTATGCTCTAGAATCTAGGGCATAGATCTGCAAATATGCCTGTGGAGGTGTGGCTCCACCTGTGCTGAGGCACACCTCGCACCCGGCATGCCACAGTGTGCCAAGGAGCCTCGCACCCACACTCCCCAGACTTTCGCCTCTTGGCTAGAAGTCAGGGTTTCCCCCTGACGTTTTGGAGATATGGAGGTAACGCTCCGCTTGTGCTGAGGCACACCTTGCACCCGGCATGCCACAGCGTGCCAAGGAGCCTCATACCCACTCTCCATGAACTTGTGGCCTCTTGGCTAGCAAACAGGGTTATTCCCCTGACCATTTGTCCTCTCACATATTTGGTTACTAGACATAACGCTTGGCTGGAGCATGACCGGGGATGCAGATGTAATCAAGTATCGAGGAACATTTTAGGGAAACACCTGCTAACGTGTATTTCAGGAAGTTTTTAATGTGTGATATTTTAGTGTTTTTTGGTTTCTATGGAAGCCGCCCAGAGTGGCCCAGATGGGCGGGGTACAAATAATAAAGTATTGTTGTTGTTGTTGTTGTTGTTGTTGTTGTTATTATTATTATTATTATTATTATTATTATTATTATTATTAGATAACGCTGGAAATGTGCTTAGATGGAAACACGTCATGTTCAGAGTGGTTTCACTACTGTTTCCAATTGTTGACTTCTGCTAATAAAAAGAGGCTCTGCAAGGCTTGCTTTTCAGCTTGCTCCTGCACAGGTCACTTGCATCCAACCTCCCATCATCCTTCGTTATTCCTACATATGCCACCATCACCTCACTCCTAAAACACACAAGAGAACTTGCCAGCCATGGTACTAGGTGATTTCTGATCCTCTCATATCTGTTCACTGGTAATGCTAAGCCAAATTACACTTCAGTAGGAACAAGCAAGCATGCTGGTGCACATTCAGAAAATGGCAGCCACTTTGGTGCTCCCCTGGTCCTCTTCCTCCTGTGCTACCAGGAGCTAAGCTATGGTTTGGTTTAATGTTCTGTGCAAACCTGGGCTAATAGTTTGTTTCACTTTAGACAAACCATAAACAGTAACCATGGTTTGTACTTGGCTTACTGCTCGTGATTTACTGTTTATGGTTTGCTGCTCAAGGTTTATTTGGGGGAGTCAAACTCCAAGGCCAGATTCACACGTAATTGTAAAGCCAAACTATGGTTTAGATCTTGGTAGTGCAGAAGCAGGATTGGGAAAGCAACAAATATTTTCTAAATGAAAATGAAAAGTGGAGGGAGGGAGGGAGATTTTGCCACCAGAATAAGACTGTTTCCACATACCTCACCCTCCAGCCATAGGAGCCTTCATAGGGGAACAGCTTCTAGAGGAACTGTGACGGGAGAGGGACTATATTTGCCATTAGGGGGGTGAACTGTTAATTGTTGATTTTTTTTTTAAAAAAAAGTTATATTGTTTATTAGACAATTCAACAATACTACTGTATTTAAAATGTTTGTTTTTATGTGAATCACTTGGAGCACAGATTTTTTGTGGGAAATATGGTACATCAATAAACTGGCATAGAGGTCCAGGACATTTGTGGCAGGAACATCACTCACTTGCTTTAGTTGTTGTATTTTTGTCAACATACATCAGAACAGGAGTACCCAGGGTGGTATAGTGATGTGGTAAGGCAGTCACTGCTGTTTACTCTGATAGTGTGATGACAGGACAAGGATATAGTAAGGTTGAAGTTGCATGAATATTCTGGTAGGAGCATCAGATTGGCTCTCCCAATGCGTCCATAAAGCCACAGTCTGGTTATCATCCTGCCTATCCTGATACAGTGTTGCAGCAGCTGCCATTGTGCTGCCCACTCTTGATTAAATGTCTGGTGTTTCTTCAAAAACTATACATCTTTTATTGTCTTCATACCATCAAATTGTTCAAACTGAGCTCTTTCTAAAGTGCAATACTGTTCCTTTAGTTAAATAGTTAACTAAAGTTAAATTAAGTTTAGTTAAATAGAAAAATAGTTAGTGCTATTTTTCTAGAAAAAGTGGTGCCGGAATTCACCATGAACACCTCCCTTGTCCTCTTATAATGGCAACTGTGTCTACCTGAGAGGTGCTGGAACTGAGTTTTGATGAGTTCTGGCTGAGAAAAAGCTGTGACCAGTGTTACTTCAAGTTACGCAGTCATGATTGGGCTTGCAATACTGCAGCAATATGCATGCTAAGTGCATTTCAAATACTGTATGTATTTCATTCCATGCATACCAACAGGTGGTTCAAATCGAAGTGCTTCAGAGGTACGACGCTGTGCTTTTTGTATACTTGAAACTGTTGCATTTAGGTCTGCACTCAAATTTCTTCTTTGCTCAACAAGCTCCTGTAATTTATGCTCTAAAAATAATTTCAGATAATTTAAATATATTCTGAAATTACTAAAAACAACAACAGTGCAATTAGTATGTAAAATTACAAGCAAATTTTAAATAGCAATATTTAATTTTATATGCTAGTTGAATGATCGAATTACTTCATATTCATAAACACAGTGTGTCACTTCTAATTTTAATTTTTTTAAAAAATTATATGTTTTTATAATATATTTTTAAAATCTAATAAATAAAATAATTTATAAAGAAGGAGGTATAAGTCAAGCCATTCATAGTATGAAAAATCACAGAAAACCTACCATTAACACTGCCTGGTTCAGCAGCTGCAAGAGCCTGGGCTGCTTCTAGCTCTTTCTGGTTGGATTCCAACTTTTCCTGCAACAATTCCTTTCTTGCTGACAGTTCATACAATTCAATCTCTGCAAAAAGAAATGGTTTGCAATCATCTATTGAAAACAGTTTAATGTGATCATTCCTTATCAGGTTTGATAAAATCCAAAAGGGTTGGATAACATGCAGAAGTATTCATAAATGGTAATTTTCTTTAAAAATTACAAATGACTTCTTCATTTGTCAATGACTATTGCAAGACAAAGTGAAGGAGTTAAACAAAATTGATTTGGGAATGTAGCAAAGTAACTTCAAGAGGTTTTAAATCTCTGAGAATCCACCATGATGATCTGTGAGAGAAGTGTGAAAAGATGGGCTCCTTAGGAAGTCTGAGGGGAGCACAAAGTCCACCCTCTTTTTTTCAAGTTAATGTTTTGTTACAGCAGCAGCAGAATGGAATCAGGATGGTTAATGTACATAGTGTACTTCACATACATATTTATCACTGAAATGAAGGAGGATGGGGAGAAAGTGAGCACTTCCTAGTAAATTATCTGCCAGAAGATAAAATTTGAACAAACCTGAGGGTTTAGACCACCTCTGTCACACCTCTGTTTTAGTGAATTTATTAACTAATCATTAATAATTGTTTATATACCATTTGCAAACTGCAAAGTTATTAACAAGATTTAAAACTGAATCAGGAACAATGGGAGGATACATGGTTTATGTCTCCTCTTCCTCTGATGTTTACATTGGTGACAGGGGAAGCAACTGTCTTGCAACACTTGAGGCAATATGAATACGGTGATATAAACTATATAATATTAATCATTAAATACCAGGGACTTGTTTCAGCTGAGCCCCTTCCGAAACACGTCGTTCAGCATTTTGCATATCATGTATAGTTTCATTTAGATCTGCAGTCAAGTGTCTTCTATGCTCAATGAGCTGCTGCAGTTTATGTTCTACAAAATAATTAAAGAACAACACATTACAAATAATAACGTATGCTTTAAAAACTACACAAAATATTACTATGCAATTGGTATGCAGTATTAACTGGAAATCTTAAATATCAGTATTTGCATTTATAGTGCTAGCTACTCAAATTAAGTCATGCACCTTATCTCAGTAATAAGAGCAGCTTTCAAAGACTCATCAATATTAAACAATATTACATGGTAAGATGTATATGAAGAAACTGTTTCAGAGAGACTGAATTGTAACATCATTATTCTTAACAAGAAACCTATTCTGATAAGTATCGATAAATATGGTTTCTAAAACCTGGCTTTTATGATGATTAAACTTTTATTTTGAACCACAATACATTTGTATACAAACAAGCAATGGCCCTTATTGACATGGTGTAGCATATTAGAATATGCAAGTCTTATAGGAAAAAACAATCCTCTACACTCACACAAATCCCCATTAAAATTGAACACAATCTTAACTGTAAGAAATACCTTAAATCCACATTTTAAATTTACATTTTAAAACTGTAGCTGATAACATGAGAAACCACACCAAACGTACCGCTGATACTGCCTGGTTCAGCAACTGCAAGAGCCTGAGCTTCCTGGAGCTCTTTCCAATTGGATTCCAAGTTGGCCTGTAAAAGCTGCTTCTTAACAGCTAGTTCAAATAATTCTCTTTCTGTGAACAGAAATGTTTTTTAGTTATCTTTTGGGGGGAAAATTCAAGCATCCTTACTTAGTCACAAAAGCTTGTAATACAGTGGTACCTCGGTGTCAGGGAACTGCCATCGGAGCTAGAGGCGGAGGGAAGGCTCCAGAGGGATGCTGGAGAGGGTCCCAGTAGAGAGAGAGGCAGCCCATCTGCTGGGGAAGGAAATCAGCGTAACACCAGTGGAGAAGGGGGGCAGATGGGGGAATCGGAGAGGAGGCTCCAGGACTCCTCGCCGGAGACCAGCGGAGAGAGTACGGGTACTCCGCTGCCCACACCCTCCCTGCGCAGAAGACTTCCGCGCAGGGAGAGTAGGAGACTTGGTGTCAAACAGCTTTTATGCTGGAAAAGGTTCAAGAAACGCCCACTGACGGATTCTGCCAGCGACTGAGACAGTCACGATGCAGGAGGCTGTTCAGTCAGAAAGGGTTCAGCCAGGCAACCTAGCCAGGAGTGGCGCCAACTTACGCACGAGCAACCCCTAAACCCATTACACTCGGGTTAAGAACTTAATTCGTTCTGGAGGTCTGTTCTTAACCTGAAACTGTTCTTAACCTGAAGCACCACTTTTGCTAATGGGGCCTCCTGCTGCCGCTGCGCCACCGCTGCACGATTGCTGTTCTCATCCTGAAGCAAAGTTCTTAACCCGAGGTAATATTTCTGGGTTAGCGGAGTCTGTAACCTGAAGTGTATGTAACCCGAGGCACCACTGTACAAAGAAAGATTCTCAAAAGCTGCCTTATTTCATAAAAATGATAAATCAACTTTTTCATCATATGAATATTTATTGATCCTCTTCACCCCACCCACAAGGGAGCCCCTCAAATCCAGCATAAAATTGTAAGTCACATATGTGCCTGCCTTCTCCTCCACCATGTCAGTAAAGAAGCTAAAGCAGCAGTTGGTGGACAGGCTGCAGTGCAGTGAAAGCAGCCTGAGAATGGAAGCACTGCTAGACCTCCTGGTCAGCCTCTACACTGAGTGCAGCCATGACTCATTGCTCCAGAGGGAAAGGCTCACCTCAGACTTTGAGTGGGAATGGACTTCCTAAATATTGAGAGTGACGTGGAAGAGTTCCTCATAAACAGCACCTGGTCCGGCTATTAGGAGTCAACATCTACCTTACCATTGGCAGTAGGCCTGAGAGCCCTACCATCTCCACCAGTGCCTACTACCCAGTTCAGCATCAGATTGAACTGGCTTAACCATGGGAATTATGTGTACTTTAATGAACTGAACAGAGTGAAAGAATGTGAGTCATGGGGGAGTAGGGAGTGTGTTATGAACTTAACAGTGCTTAGCTTATTTTTTTTAGTTGCCCTTTTGATAATGTTATCATTGTTTTACAGATTATAAATGCCATATAGATTTGTTAATCATATAATATGTATTTTGCTATAATTGTGAAGTTTAGCTTAACTTTTAGTTGTTTTTTAGATTGTAACTATTTCACTGATGATTTCTTAATTCTCTGCTGTAGTGCAATCCATGCAGGATGGAAAGGTGTCTCCTCTCTCTGACAGCCACAGTGACGATCGGGCTTGCAACACTGAAGCAGGTGCATTTCAAAAACTATTTATCTTTCATACCATACATACCTGCAGGTGCTTCAAGTGCAGCTCTTTGTGAAGCCCGGCGTTGTGCTTTTTTAATATTGAATACTGTTGCTTTTAGTTCTGCAGCCAGTTTTTTTCTTTGCTCAGCAAGCTCCTGTAGTTTATGCTCTAAAAATAATTTCACACTATATCAGACCAAACTTTGATATACATTAATGAAGCATTAAGTATCTAAAAGTGTATAATGGTTGCTTGCAAGTTCGATAAATCATAGCAAACCTACCACTGACACTGCCTGGTTCAGCAGCTGCAAGAGCCTGGGCTTCTTCTAGCTCTTTCTGGTTGGCTTCCAACATTTCCTGCAACATTTCCTTCTTAATTGATAAACTGTACAATTCCATTTCTGCAAAGAGAAATTTGGAATCATTTTTGGAATCATTTTTTGAAAACAGTTTAAAAGGCAAAAAGTATTCATAAATTATATTTTTATTACAAAATTATAAATAACGTCTTCATATTCCCTGTGTTCTGGGACTATAGCAAAGTAACTGTAAGAAGTTTTAGCTTTCTGAGAATCCACTATGATCTATGACATATATCTGAAAAGATGGACCCCAAAGTCCAAGTTGAGCACAATGTGCTCCTCTGCCCCCTGCAGTTAATGCTTTGTTTATCTGTCATATTTCTTTCAATAAGAAAGAGGAGGCTGTGCACAAATCCTCTTTGAGAGCCAGTGTGGTGTAGTGGTTAAGAGTGGTAGTCTCATAATCTGGGGAACCAGGTTCGCGTCCCCGCTCCTCCACATGCAGCTGCTGGGTGACCTTGGGCTAGTCACACTTCTTTGAAGTCTCTCAGCCCCACTCACCTCACAGAGTGTTTGTTGTGGGGAAGGAAGGGAAAGGAGAATGTTAGGCGCTTTGAGACTCCTTCGGATAATGATAAAGTGGGATATCAAATCCAAACTCTTCTTCTCTTGTATTCCTCACCCGAACTCTCCTTAAGCTTCAAAGTGGCTAGCTAAAATTCTTCCGGGAACAGTGGAAAGATGCTAAATTTATGTCTCATTGTATCTCCACATTGATGACAGTGGCACAACTGTCTTGCAACAAAACAATTATTTGCCTACCAATAGGTGGTTCCTGCCGAGTCCTTTCTGCAGCACGACGTTCAGCTTTTTTAACATCATGCACAGTTTCCCTTAGATCTGCAATCAAGTGCTTTCTTTGCTCAGTGAGCAGCTGCAGTTTATGTTCTAAAAAATAATTACAGGCCAATTCATAATAAAGTAATAATATATGTTGAAAAAACTTCTCAAAATACAACGATGCAATTGATATGTTAACAGTATCTGGAAATTTTAAAAATTAAAATTTGCATTTGTAATGCTAGTTGTTCAAATTACTTTATATACATTATCTCAGTAATCAAAGAATTGTAATTATCTAAAGCAATGGTTCCCAATTGGTGGTCCATGGATCCTAAACCACCCAGGGGGTCCACAGACCCTTAACATAACAAGAACTACCATAGGGACATCGGAATTTTCAAAAGTAGGGGGTCCATGGCTTGACTTTTGGGGGGAAAGGGGGAGTCCACAGTAGTTAGCTAACTGAGAACCATTTATATAAATGATATTTCTCCATTGCTAATGGACAATGGATCTTAGGCTGGGATCTTGCTTCTCCTTCTGGTCAAAGACAGGAAAGATGAACTTAGGGAAATAGGTTGGCTCTCAAATAATGCACTAGTTTGCATCCTCACCAAGCTCAAATAAGACCTACATTCACACATATATTCATACGTCCATCACAGAATATAAAGAAAACAACAACATTCTACTTCTACACTAATGCAAACATGTAATACTACATTGAACAAATGTAAATAAATGTAAACCCACAACAACTGAAATGAATGTAAAAATGATAGAAATATCCTTAAGCTAAGTATAATTCTTTCTCCCATTGGTAATGAAGGTCATTAGCCTGGGATGTACTACAACTATCAACAACCAGTGTGGGCCATCTAAATGGCTGTTTAAGATAGAAGAACTTGCCATAGTACTTTACTTCTAAATGCAGCTTCTGCAGAAGTATACTTATAATGATTTACAAATGTGCTGGGAGATGTCCAGGTTGCTGCCTACCATACCTCAACTAATGGTGCACTCATTGCAAATATTGCAGATGTAGCTGCTACCCTTGTGGAATGTACTGTCACTGGTGGAATGTACTTATAAACCTTAATAGTATGTGCTCTAATCCAACATGATAATCTTGTATTTATCATCTTCCTCCCTAAAGTTGTGAAAGGATACAAAAAGGCAATCTCCCTTAATTTATTTTGTTCTCTCTATATACCTTTACAGTGGGATGCGGATGGTGCTGTGGTCTAAACCACAGAGCCTAGGGCTGGCTGATTGGAAGGTCGGTAGTTCGAATCCCCGTGACGGGGTGAGCTCCCATTGTTTGGTCCCTGCTCCTGCCCACTTAGCAGTTCAAAAGCACGTCAAGTGCAAGTAGATAAATAGGTACCGCTCCGGCGGGAAGGTCAACCAGGTTTCTGTGCCCTGCTCTGGTTCACCATAAGTAGTTTAGTCATGCTGGCCACATGACCCGGACACTGTCTGCGGACAAACGCCGGCTCCCTCGGCCTATAGAGCGAGATGAGCGTGCAACCCCAGAGTCCTCCACGACTGGACCTAACGGTCAGGGGTACCTTTACCTTTATATACCTTTACTGCCTAGCAGACAACTAAAGTGTGCCATGCTCTTTCTGACTGATTTGATGGCACAGGACAAAGCGTTAGCAAAATCAACTCCTCTTGTGTATGAAAGCATGGCATTACTTTTGGAATGAAAGATGTATCTGTCCTCAAACTATTCTCTGTATGAAATGCACAAAGAGGTTTAACTACAGAATATGCATTCAATTCAGACACCTTGTGGGTAGATGTAAGCGCCACCCAAAACAACACTGAGAGACATCAGTCTGCTTTCCTCAGTTCATCTTTCCCACATTTGGCCACAGGGTGGAGCAAGATCCCAGTCTAATGATCTTCATTACCAATGGGGGTATTTATTTGTTATTTATTTTAAAATATTTATTAACTGTTTATTATTAAAAGTAATCATGAGGCAATGTGAACAACATAAAAACATAAACATAAAACATCCAATAGAATAGCAATATAAAAACCTAAATCATAAAAGCAGCATTAAAAAAGAAAGGTACAGTGTCTAGTGTTAACGATCCAGAAAAGTCCAAAAAAGAATGTTTTGAAGAATGCCTAGAACATGTAAGAGATGAAGCTGACCATACAGCAAAGAACAGGATGTTCCAAATAAAAGGCAGAATTGCAGAAAAGGCCTGTTTAGGGGTCATGGCCATAAAACAGTCTGCAGTCTGTATAAATATTTATTTCACTTGTCTAACAAGAGGACAGTCTGTACCATCAAAGTTAAAAACATCATCAAAATTTAACAAATCAATATATAAATGACTCAGGACTGCAGTATTCAACAACCTGTCCCCCCCCCCACCCGTGAACCGACCCAGACCCTGCAATAATCATCTGAGGCACTTCTTCATTGTCCTATTCCACTAGGCGTCTGAAGGGCAGCTACATGATAACAGGCCTTTTCTGTGGTGGCTCCCTGCTTGTGGAATGCTCTCCCCAGGGAGGTTTGCCTGGCACCTTAGTTAAATATATTTATGTGCCAGGCAAAAGCATTCCTCTTCTCCCAGGCCTTTGGCTAGATGGTTTATCTCTAGCCTTTTAAACTGTGGAGGGGGTTATTGTTTTTCTTTGCTATTATGTAATGTGGGGGTGTATGGAGTGTTAGAGAAGGGGTAGCACCTCTGGTGGTAGACACGTTGTTCTCCTTATGAGGTAGTTCTCCTTATGAGTTAGTTTGCCTGCCTTTGGTCCCCAACCCTGCATTCATTTCTCACTTGTGGCTTCTACAATCTGTCAACACATAACAGCGGCCATACCCTGTGAATGGATTTGACTGGCTGGTTAAACCAGGTGAGGGTGGCCAATGGGTCTGAAGTGCTCAGTGTGTTAGAGACTTCCCCTGCATGCAAAGACAGGCTCCAACAGATTGAGTGGGCAAGAACAATAGTGGGTCCAACAGTTCAGAATGCATGTGCTGTAGAGGGAAGTGAGGAGTAGGTGGGGATTGTGAACCTGGGAAGGTACCCCATCTACAAGAAGGAAATCTCTGATCCTAAACCTCAGCTGCCTTGTGGGATATCTTCAGAAGAAGAAGTCTAAGGAATAATCCCTACACAAATCCAGAGTGGAGTCCCTAAGATGGTTGGATGGCATCTTGTATGCTTCCTTCCAGAAACGCCTGCAGCCAAGTTGGTGCCAAACATATTGCTCTTCTTTCCATTGGACCACAATGAGGCCAAGAGGTGGGTCTTGTCATCTTGGCAGCCCAGGATTTCCATACACACTGCTCAGGCTTGAGCACAGGAAAGGTAACTTTGGTGCTGCTAATGCAGCAGTTTGACTTCACCCCTGGAGGCACACTCCAATGTCTCCTGAGACAGACAGATGCCACCAATGTTAGGTATTTTTGTGTTTTTATATTGTAAACAACCCTGTGATCCTTGAATGAAGGATAGTATAGAAATGTAATAAATAAAACAAAACATAAAAACAGCACTAGGCCTTGGTGGAATACTGAGCTCTGGCAACACTATTCTAAGGACAGATATGTCTCAGAAGGTTTTTTCAGATGGTTCGAGTTCTTTTCAGCTGTAGTGCACTTACATAAAAATAAGCATTGGTCCTTTTTTCAAACCATGCAGCCTCTTAAACCTGTGCAGGTCTCAATGCAAAAATAATCTATAGCCATTCAACGGATGATTAGTGTTGAACATAAGGTTTTCAGTTTAGCTTAATGTCAAAACTTTAGTTGGCAAAATGAAGAATCATAGCAAACCTACCACTGATACTGCCTGGTTCAGCAGCTGCAAGGGCTTGGGCTTCTTCCAACTCTTTCTGGTTCAATTCCAACTTTTCCTTTAACCCTTCCTTCTTCATCAATAGTTGTTGCAATTCCATATCTACAGAAAGAAATGGCTTGGAATCATCTCTTGAAAACAAATAATACCCTTAATCTCAGGGATGTGGGTTTGAGCCCCATGTTGGGCAAAAGATTTTTGCATTGCAGGGGGTTGGATTAGATAATACACATAGTTCCTTGCAACTTTACAATTCTATGAGTCTGTGATTCTTATCAGGTTTGATAAAACCCAAAGGGGTTGGATAAAATAGCACAAATGCCTTAACAAAAAATCAATATAATTAACAGCAATCTTAGATGTTTGCTACATATGCAGTAAGATCGGAATGAATCCTCTCCAGCCCCACCCCAACACATGGCCAAAGCCTTAGGGAGAAAGTTTCCATAGATGCAAATGGGGGTTTCCCCCTAAGACTTCTAGCTGCAAGGGATAGCGGGGTAATCCCAAACAAGCCAGAAAGGGAACATACACATCTTCCCTCCTCACATACTGTACTGCATGTCCAATACAAACTGCGGTCTCCCCAACTGTAAGAAAATAACTAGTTGCATGCTACATTTCTAGCAAGTCAAGTTTCTGCTTTGGCCCTCCATTTCCACTCACCAGGAGGTTTTCCAGCTAGAGCTCTTTCTGAAACACGATCCTTTGCTTCTTCTATATCACATACTGTTTCCTCTAGTTCTTTAGACAAGAGTTCTTTTTGCTCAGCTAGCTCCTGTAGTTTAGTCTCTGCAAAATAATTTCACACCAGGAGATAACAAAATATAGGCTGAAATAACTTGCTACACGCATCAGTGCAAATTCCTTTATTACCTGGAAACTTTAAATGTGTACTGTATATGCATTTATATTACTAGTTGCACTTTACTTCCTACAAAGCCTGACTTTCAGGCTGAGTAAATTTTCTTTTAGCTATAATGTTTTTGTTTTTTAAAAGGCCCTTACTAACACAACATATTATACCATTGAAGGAACAATCCTCTGCAGTGGGAAGTTGGAGGGGGTGTGTGGAATTTTTTTCAGACTGAGAGCTGCATTCCTTTCTGGTCAACCTTCCAGAGACCACAGGTCACTGGTGGATGGGCCCAGTGGCAAAAGTGGGCAGAACAACAAATAAGAAAGGGACGCGGATGGCGCTGTGGGCAAAAGCCTCAGCGCCTAGGGCTTGCCGATCGAAAGGTCGGTGGTTCGAATCCCCGCGGCGGGGTGCGCTCCTGCTGCTCGGTCCCAGCGCCTGCCAACCTAGCGGTTCAAAAGCACCCCCGGGTGCAAGTAGATAAATAGGGACCGCTTACCAGCGGGAAGGTAAATGGCGTTCCGTGTGCTGCGCTGGCTCGCCAGATGCAGCTTTGTCACGCTGGCCACGTGACCCGGAAGTGTCTTTGGACAGCGCTGGCCCCCGGCCTCTTGAATGAGATGGGCGCACAACCCTAGAGTCTGTCAAGACTGGCCCGTACGGGCAGGGGTACCTTTACCTTTACCTTTTAGGCCAGACTAGTTTCTACACACACAAACAAACTCCTCCAACTAGGCAAGCAAGAAGCATTATCAGAGAGCTCAAGGACAAATTCAAGTCATGCTATAGATAACAGCATGAGAAATCACATCATACATACCACTGATACTGCCTGGCTCAGCAATTGCAAGAGCCTGAGCTTCTAGTAGCTCCTTCTGGTTGGATTCCAACTTTTGCTCTAACTCTTGCTTCTTTGCAGACAGCTCATATAATTCCCTTTCTGCAGAAATATTATACATATATTTGAAGAATAATGTCTAAACTCATAATTGCTCACGTAAAATAAAAGGACTTAAAAATGGAATTATTTCACAGAAATAACAAACTCTTTATCTGTCATTGCAGATCTTATAAAAAGGCAAAGGAGCATAATGAAACCCTTGTGGGAATGTGGCAAAGTAACCTCAATATGGCATAAGTCCCTGACAGTATCACACAGATCAAGTATGATTTAGGTTAGCCTTGCCCAAAATGGTACCTTCCAGTTGTTTGGAGCCACAATTCTCATTAACCCCAAGCCAGCATTACCTATGGCCAGGATGATGGAAATTGTAGTCAAACATATCGAGGGCTACAAGTTCCCCATCAGTGCTCTAAATTACAACAGTAAAAAATGTGCCAATTCCCTGTCCTCCCAGTTGTTGAAAACAAGAGGCTATGTATAAATTCTCTTGTACATCAGTACAAGAGTTCAAGCCAAAAGAAGAGATAGCACAGCTAGGCAGTAGTTATCAGTGGACAGGATGGGACTATGCTGCTTTTACCTGGCTCCCCAATGCCCAAATGGCTGCTGATTATGGAGAGGCATGGGGGAGTGGAGAGGTCAGTGTGGCTGCACCAGCAGAAGCAGCAGATTGATCCTGCTGCTGCACTTGGACCACACCAACCTTCTCACCAGCACTGGCATTAGGAAGCCTGGTAAGTAGAGCACTTTTGCACTGCTGACTGCTACTGTTTCTAGGTGAACCCTCTCATTATGATTAAGTTCAGAAAGTACTGATCCACCATGCTAAAACTTTTCTGCACACCCTTTTTCTTTCATATTTATTAGTTCTATTTTTATATATACTGTCAAAAGAGCTCATGAGAGCTTGCCAGAACCATCTGCTGAAGCTGAAGCTCCTCACTTCTCTGGTAGCACTAGCAGCAGCAGCAGCAGCATCAGAGGAAGCACCTGCTCAGGCACTCTATCAGTAGGGTTCTACCACCTACCCAAGGCAGTTGTTTAGTCTGTCTCATGGGTGGGTTGGCTCTGGAAAAAGGGGTTGTCCCAAGCAAGCAGGAGAGGGAAGAGACATCTCTTCTCTCCTCATATACCTGAGGAGGCCTTCCCAATAAGAACCGCTGTCATCTCCACCCCCGATTGCAAGTAAGGGGGGGAAACCTAGTTGAATGCCACTTTTCTTGGAAGCATCTGCTTTGGCCCCCAGTCCCTACTCACCAGGAGATTTTCCAGCTAGAGTTGCTCTTTCTGAAACATGATGCTTTACTTTTGCCATATCATTTACTGTTTCCTCTAGTTCTTTAGTAAAGAGTTCATTTTGCTTAGCTAGCTCCTGTAGTTTAGTCTCTGCAAAACAATTTTACACCAGTAAATAAAAAAATGAATGTATGCTGAAATAACTGTGCTACATACAATAATGCAATTTCCATTATTACCTAGAAACTTTAAATGTGTACTGTGTGTGCACGGATAATAGTAGCTACCTGTACTTCCTACACACCCTGACTTTCAGGCTGATTAATGATGGAGTATCTTTATTTTTTGTTTTGTTTTTAAGACCCTTATTAACATGACAACATATTATACCACTGAAGGAACAATCCTCTACAGTAGGAAGGGGAGCAAAGCTTTTCCAGACAGAGAACTGGATTCCTTTCTGGTCAACCTTCCAGAAGCCACAGGCCGTTGGTGTACAGGCCCAGTGGCAAAAGTGGATGGAACAACAAATATGAACACAGAAGGCTAATTTCTACTAACACACATTGACCCTATCCTCCAACTAGACAAGCAGGAAGCATTACCAGAGAGTTCAAGGACATATTCCAATCAGGCAAAACCCTCAAGGAAGCCGCAAAGGACTGATAATAGCTGTTGCCCAGGGAGATTCCCAAGAGCCAGTGAAGCCTGGAGGAGCACAACTGACCCCCAGGCCAGAGTTTTCCCACTCCTGTTCTATGCAAAGGCTCCTGGCAAGGACTATCAACTTTATTCAGACAGAAGGTCTTTCATGCCAAGTATATATGCATGCTTAAGTGCTTTGGTTTTATATTCAATGGTGTCCCATTTGTGCAAGGACTTGGACTTCCCCCAGACAATCACCTTAAATCTGTACTGGGGTCTGCCCCAACCTTCCAAGGCAGCTTTTGTGGTGGTGCATGCCATAAACAGTATTTTTACCTTGAGTTACAAATGTGTTACTTCCTCAGGAAATTTATTGAGGGGATTTTGATTCCAGACAATGATACTGGACAGCATTTTAAATGATGTTTCCGCCATTTAGAACCTATTTCTCCCTACCCTGATACTTTTTCATGTTTCCATTGTACACTAGCTTCAGAATATAAACTCTACAGGGGGAGAAATTGACCAAAAACAGTAAGTAACTTTCCGCATGAAGTCCATTTTCCTAATTATCCATTGGATGAATTATATTCTACTAAGAGAGACCAAATTGCAAACATGCGCTGGATTATGAAGAAAGCTAGAGAAATCCAGAAAAACATCTACTTCTGCTTCACTGACTATGCAAAAGCATTTGACTGTGTCGACCACAGCAAACTATGGTAAGTTCTTAAAGAAATGGGAGTGCCTGATCACCTCATCTGTCTCTTGAGAAATCTCTATGTGGGACAAGAAGCTACAGTTAGAACTGGATATGGAATAACTGATTGGTTCAAAATTGGGAAAAGAGTATGACAAAGCTGTATATTGTCTCCCTGATTATTTAACTTATATGCAGAATTCATCATGTGAAAGGCTGGACTAGATGAATCCCAAGCTGGAATTAAGATTGCCAGAAGAAATATCAACTACCTCAGGTATGCAGATGACACAACCTTGATGGCAGAAAGTCAGGAGGAATTAAAGAACCTTTTAATAAGGGTGAAAGAGGAGAGTGCAGAATATGGTCTGAAGCTCAACATCAAAAAACCTAAGATCATGGCCACTGGTCCCATCACCTCCTGGCAAATAGAAGGGGAAGAAATGGAGGCAGTGAGAGATTTTATTTCTTGGGTTCCATGATCACTGCAGATGGCGACAGCAGTCACGGAATTAAAAGACACCTGCTTCTTGGGAGAAAAGCAATGACAAACCTAGAAAGCATCTTAAAAAACAGAGACATCACCTTGCCGACAAAGGTCCGTATAGTTAAAGCTTTGGTTTTCCCAGTACTGATGTATGGAAGTGAGAGCTGCACCATAAAGAAGGCTGATCACTGAATAACTGATGCTTTTGAATTGTGGTGCTGGAGTCCCATGGACTGCAAGAAGATCAAACCTATCCATTCTTAAAGAAATCAGCCCTGAGTGCTCACTGGAAGGACAGATCATGAAGCTGAGGCTCCAATACTTTGGCCACCTCATGAGAAGAGAAGACTCCCTGGAAAAGACACTGATGTTGGGAAAACTGAGGGCACAAGGAGAAAGAGACGACATAGGACGAGATGGTTGGACAGTGCTCTCAAAGCTATCAACATGAGTTTGACCAAACTGTGGGGGGCAGTGGAAGACAGGAGTGCCTGGCGTGCTCTGGTCCATGGGGTCACGAAGAGTCGGACATGACTAAACGACTAAACAACAAGAAACAGTTAAGGCTATACATAACAGGATGAGAAATCACATCATACATACCACTGATACTGCCTGGCTCGGCAACTGCAAGAGCCTGAGCTTCTAGTAGCTCCTTCTGGTTGGATTCCAACTTTTGCTCTAACTCTTGCTTCTTTGCAGACAGCTCATATAATTCCCTTTCTGTAAATGAATGAATGAATGAATGAATGAATGTTTTCAAAACAAATTCTAATCTCAGAATTGCTCACATAAAATAAGGTTATTTTTAAAATGGAATTATTTTACAGAAATTGCAAACTCTTTATCTGTCATTGCAGATCTTATAAAAGGGCAAAAGAGCCATATGAAACCCTTTGGGAATGTGGCAAAGTAACATCAATGTGGCATTACTTATGGTCAGGATGATGCAAATTGTAGTCAAACAACATTTGCAGGGCCTCATGTTAGAGCCTCACTGCTCTAAATTACCACAGCAAAAAATGTGCTAATTCCCTGTCCTCCCAGTTGTTGGACACTATAAATCACCTTGCACTGATCATCAGGGCTGGAGGGTCAGTCTAATTATCATTTTTCTTCCTTTTCAGCCCCAAAGAAGAGTTGGTACTGCTAGTAGCAGTCAGTGTGGCAGAGTGGCAGAGTGGGGCTGTGCTGTTTGCCTGGCTTCCCTATGCCAGGACTGCAAGTAGAAGCAGCAAATTGCCTCTGATACTGCACTTGCACTGCATCAACCTTCCCACCATCTCTCTCTCACCAGCACTGGTATTCAGATGAAGTTCGCAGAGTATTGACCCACCGTGCTAAGACACCTCTGCTACACATTTTGTTCTCTCACATTTATTTGTTGAGTTTTGTCCAGCAACAATACTTCTCAAGCCAGCTAACAACACTTAAAATCCACTATTGTTGCACATTAAATTATAGTATAAACTAATGGATTAAGCTTGGATTTCTTAGCATTCCTGATCCCCTCCTATGACCTCCATAGTTCTCAACTGGAACTACATCTAAGAATGATAAAACATATCATCTCTTTTTGATGGTCTCAGTAATGAAAGTGATAAGAAGGTTTGTAATATGCACATTATGTGTTTTTGTACAACTTAAGGTAATTTCATTTTAAACTTACCAGCAGTAAATACAAATCCTTCTGAGACACTATCCTGTGCTTTTTGCATCTCATGCACAGTTGAATCTAGTTCTGCAGCTAAGCATCTTCTTTGTTCAATTAGCTCTTGCAGCTTATGATCTACAAAGATATGTTACATCAGTTTGTAACAAAGTATTAATTAACAAACTGTTCAATAATTGCATTATTTAAAATAACATCAAGCTTTTAAAAATAATTCCTGTTATGTGCTCAAAGCATCAGTTGAGGGAGTACTACACATATTATATGTGGTCTTTTTATGTGTGCTTAAATTAGTCACTTATTTTAAAGAAAGCATGTGCTCCCATCATTCATCAGCTGATGGGCAGTGGGATGGGATGGGGTGGGGTGGGTGGGGTGGGGAAACCATTTCCATTGAAATTGCTGTTAAAATGGAGGAAAACAGCACAAGCAACGCTGACACTAAACCCTACATATATTAAGTAAAATAGAAACATCGTCACCCGACCCCACCTCCACCCATCTTTCCCCCCCCACCTCTTTCCCCCTTTTCTTCCTAATGTCTCAACAAATGAAACTGATTTGTAAAAATGTTACATGGGGGGGGGATACGAGAAAGACATTGCACATACTTTTGTAAATCAAGAAAATCTTTAATAAAAATACATTTTTTAAAAAATGGAGGAAAACATCTCCCACACAAGTCAATTAGTTTGTACTTATGAAAATACAAAAACAATACTCTATAGCTAGTGGTTTTATTCAAGAAAATAGGTCGCGCCTCAACTGCCCACCCACCCGCTTGTTCGCTCCTTCCTTTGCTGCTTCTAATGTCACTTCCTGCAGCTAAAGGCACAGCTTCCCAGAGGCAATTTGCCACAACCTTTACAATTGCCAAAGCGCCTTCTAAGAAGGTGCCTGACGATTGCAAAAGGGTGGCATGACCTTTCTACAATCATCAGGCACCTTCCTGGAAGGTGTTTTGGCAATCGTAAGGGTCGCGCCCAAGCGCCTCTGGGAGGCTACGCCTGCAGTTACAGGAAGTGGTGGTGGCAGTGGAGGAAGTAGCAATGGCAGTGGAGGAAGTGGCAAAGGTGGGGGGAGGAGAGGAAATGAGCAGGTGAGCAAGCAGGCAGGCAAGCAGTAGCGGCAAGATGGTGGCTGGGGGAAAAGCTGTGGTCGTACAGCATACCGGCAGGTACCACCTCAAAAAAAGCACTGTCTATAGCTATGCAAAGGTCATTGGGCAGTGCCCAAAAGTTAAACTGAAACAGAAGGATCCTAATTCCAAGTAGAGGTGTTTCAGACTGTAAGCTGACAATATGGGAAGCCAGATCATACATACCACTGATACTGCCAGGTTGAGCAATGGCAAGAGCCTGAGCTGCTTCTAGCTGCTTCCGATTAGATTCCAACTTTTCCAATAATTCTTGTTTCTTCTCCGATAGTTCATATACTTTTCTTTCTGGAAAAAAATGTGCTTCAATCAATTCTTGAAAAATAGTGTCAAAAGTCATCCTTGTTCTCAACATCATGTAGAATGATTTTTTTTTAATTGACTCATTAATATATCTTCTTTCGCTAAAGCAAAGCTTAAAAAGATGTCAAATGGGTGCTTTAGGGAATGTAGCAATGTAACTTAAAGAGGGAAATTCCCTGACAATCCAAGAGATCCGTTGTGATAATGTACACTGAAGTGTGAAAATCTGGGGCCCCTCAAGCTATTTGGAGACAGGAGAAGCTGAGGCTGAGAGGAGATATGATAGCCATCTTCAAATATCCAAAGGGCTGTCACATGGACGATGGAGCAAGAATGTTTTAATCTGCTCCAGAGGGCCCCAAAAAATGGCTTCAAGTTACATGAAAGGAGATTCCAACTAAACATCAGGAAGAACTTTCTGATGGTAAGAACTATTTGACAGTAAAACAGACTTCCTTGAAGGGTGATGGACTCTCATTCATTGGAGATTTTTAAGAATAGGTTGGATGACCATCTGCATTGCAGGGGGTTGGACTAGATTACCCTTGGGGTCCCTACTATATGATTCTATGAAGGTCCTCTCTAAATAAATGTTTTGATTAAGACAGAAAAAGTGTCTTAAAGTAAGTTTTAAATACAGTGGTACCTCGGGTTAAGAACTTAATTTGTTCTGGAGGTCTGTTCTTAACCTGAAGCACCACTTTAGCTAATGGGGCCTCCTGCTGCTACTGCGCCTTCACTGCACAATTTCTGTTCTCATCCTGAAGCAAAGTTCTTAATATTTCTGGGTTAGTGGAGTCTGTAACCTGAAGCGTATGTAACCTGAAGCGTATGTAACCCGAGGTACCACTGTATATAAAATGAAAATGCTATGCATAAATAATCTCACATTGATTGTCAGTTATTGGGGGCAATAAATATTGTGACCCTCCTTTTTGCAATGTATCTGTTGATGGAAACCGCAGAAAGTGTGTCCAAGTAAATGATTTTTCAGGTGAACTATCTCAGGATAAAATTTGAGTAGCAGTGCCCTAGAAGCATAGCACAGGGCATACTGCTGCCACGAGCTTCACTTACCTCAAGCTACCCATACTAAAAATCCAACAAAGATACCTACTAAAATTAATAAGTGCCTCAAGTTTCTCAATAGACTGGCCCTCCATGTTGCTGTCATCAGAGAGACTTGCATTCTTTGCAGCGCCTTTGTGAGATGCAAAGAAGATATCTCAACTGGCCATAGTTTCTCAGAACTTTCCCTTCCTCAGTTAACCCTATGAAGCCAATTTGCAGTGAGGGGGAAAGGAGGCACAGCTTCAAACTGTCTTTTAAAATTTCAAACTTTGTCTTATGCTACGTCAGCGGGCCCTATAAGAGAACCAAAAGCAGTAACAAGAAGAAACAAAGGAGATGCAGCTTCAGATCAACCTTCATAGTGATATCCTGGTGTGGTAATTTCAGTTTCAATCATTTTTCCAGTCGTAAATTCAGTTCTGCACCATGGGCATAGCCACGATTTGGAGGGGGCAGGTCTTTTGTTGGGGGGAGGCAGAACCTCAATTCACTATGTATTTTTATTGATTTAGAGGGGCTGTTTCCCTCCCTGCCCCCCTTGGCTACACCCATGTTCCACACATTACTACATCTGTATGTGTATTTTATTTTAAGACTTCATAAAAATTCTTCAGCACTTTAGTGCTAACTTCTAATGCAAACATTTTGGTATGAATTTCCCCTAACATGCACATTTCTGCAAGCATTTTTCTTAATATTGCATTGTTAATGTCATCTTCTCTAATATATGAATTTTGTTCACACTCTCCTTATTATACACATTTTTGTGAACATTATTTGACTGGAGAACTGCATAGGAAAAATCAAAACAGGACATATTTTGAAGGATAGCCACTTTTCACCTATTGTTTCAGGAAGTGCAAATTAGGTAGGTTTGCATTAAAATGTGAAGCAAACTGAATGTCTCCCCACCCCTTTTTAAGAGTACTTATTCACTACTTACCAGTAGGTCGTACAAACACAGTTCTTTCTGAAGCACGACGATATACATTTTGTATACCATCCAAAGTTGCCTCAAGATCTACAGTCAGATGTCTTTTTTGCTCAGCTAACTCCTGCAGCTTATGCTCTACAAAAAAAATTCAGGCTAATTCATAACAAAAATATTAATATATGGAAAGAATATATTTAATATGAATACTTAGCATTTATCAGGTGTTTCTTGCGCCACTTCACTGAGCTGAATGAAATGCCCCCTCCTCCCATCAGTTACCACATTCATACATGGTCACGTTAGGAGGAATATTTCATCAATATTTGGCATGGGCGGGTGCATGCTCTGCACCTGAATACTTTGGAGCCAACCAAAGACATTCAGCCAGATTTGGACTTTGTGTACTAAGGATGTTGTTGAGAATGCTCACATGAATTCTACTAAGCTCCCATACTTTTCCAACTCAGAGTTTTAACTTGTGGCAGTCTTGTGGGCTCCAAACTGAGATATAAAAAACTCAAGTTTGGCCCCTGTGCACACACCCATTGCCTCAGGATTAACTGAGTTAATCCCTATCAGTCAGAAATAATGAGAGTTTAAAAGCTCCCATGATCCTTTCTGGGAAAGTGCTGTGGCTGTCTTTGTAGCTCAGAATCGAATTTTGCTGACATATCTATCAGAAATTGCAATACAATTGCAGTACAAATGACAAATGTTGCTAGAGACTAACGGCTGTCTTTGCAACTGAGAATTGGGTAAGCAAATAGCTCCTTGGGAATATTGTGCACAGCTTCCTAGGCTTAAATGTGTGATTCCTTCCCCAAACCCCTCTTATGAGCTTGGTCCACCCAAAGTTGCCTTGTAAAATGTGTTCTGCCAAATTTGAGTATGATGATGCAAAGACTGGCAACACCAACCTCCTCAGTCTGAGAAGCAGTTGTACTTATGGTTTCACCTGCTAAAAATGCACACTGCATCATTCTAGTGCCACCACTAGGACTAGTAGGCTAGGGCTGCTGGTGCTCAATGCCCTTTTCTCAGCTTTCTGGAACTATGTGAATCAGTAGCAGCCAGCAAGGCAGGATTGGATTGGAATGGTGATGCTGACTGGGTATAGTGGCGGAGTCAATGTAATTATTTATTCATTCATTTTATTGTATTTATATCCCTACCAGCATCCATCTAACCAATTATGGCTAGAAGAGGGAAACTATTAGTTCCAAATGGGGAGTGAATGGCCAAAAAATGATTATACGGCAAGTGATATGACAAATTTGTTTCTTTATCAGTAACATACGAAACAAATAGGCCACATTCATTTCTTTTATTATTATTACATGAATATACCCCCTTTATCAAAAAAGACTATTTGGTACTCAACTGTAATGAGGATTTCAAAGGTAGGAAAGTGATGCTTTCAGACCCAATCCACCCCCTGGTCTTGCTGGCTGCCTACAGACTGTTGTAGAGCAATTCTGTTACTAGAGAGCGCTCAATGCCCATTCTGGAGGCATATCTTCTGGCCTTTGTGAAACTGCTTGGCAGGTAAGTACCTTAATTCAGTGAACATATATTTGTAGTTGAAGCAAGAGAAATCACAGTATACATACCACTAACACTCCCTGGTTGAGTAGCTGCAAGTTCCTGAGCTTCTTGTAGTTCTTTCTTAGTAGATGCCAACTTCTCTAGTAACAGTTGCTTCTTTTCAGTTAGCTCATACAATTCATTTAATCCCTTTTCTGCAAGCAAAAATATTTTGAATGACCTTTTGGGGAAATGTTTTATATTGCACATGGGACGCAGGTGGCGCTGTGGGTTAAAGCCTCAGCACCTAGGACTTGCCGATCAAAAGGTCGGCGGTTCGAATCCCTGTGGCGGGGTGCGCTCCTGTCGTTCGGTCCCAGCGCCTGCCAACCTAGCAGTTCGAAAGCACCTTCGGGTGCAAGTAGATAAATAGGGACCGCTTACTAGCGGGAAGGTAAACGGTGTTCCGTGTGCTGCGCTGGCTTGCCAGAACAGCGATGTCACGCTGGCCACGTGACCCGGAAGTGTCTGCGGACAGCACTGGCTCCCGGCCTATAGAGTGAGATGAGCGCACAACCCTAGAGTCTGGCAAGACTAGCCCGTACGGGCAGGGGTACCTTTACCTTTACCTTTATATTGCACAAAAACTCAGTTTTCAGTCACCCACAAACTTACTGATGCCATTTAAAATATATAATGTTATCTGTCAATGCAGATCTTAAGACATGGCAAAGAGTTCGTTTGCTGTGTAAAATCCCATTTTTTCTGTTTCTCAACTCTAAGTTCCTCCTTTGAGCTCTAAGTGTTCCTAACATGAAGCCAGAAAGAGATCACCCTGTGCACTGTACTCTGTCATCTGTGGTCTCCCTGTGTGGAGTTTATCTTTTGCTGCTATGCTGATATTAGATGCTCAGACATATTTTTTCTTGGGAGGTAAAGAACACTGGTCCTTACCTGAAGAGCATTTATCCAGGATGACAGGCCATCTCATTGTTCCATGCACTCCAAGGTTGAAGGAAGTAGACATGGCTTAGTGCTCCTCAGTCTCAATTCATTTCATGATGAGACCATGGATTGATTCAAGACAGGTCAAGCAACATAAAGAGGAGTAGGAGACAAAGCATTGTGCCCAAGTGCTGCAAGCCCTGAGAAGCTACAACCTGGGTTTTTTCTTTGTTGACTATGAGCATGTGGTCTTTCAGAGCATTGATGCTCCTCTTTATGTTGTTGGTGTTGGTGGCGTGCTGCCTGAACTAAAGAGGAAGAGGCAGCTGACTTAGCCTCTGAAAGAATGATTGGGTCAAGGAGTGCTGGAAAATGTTGAAGTTGTGGTCCTTCCTGAAGGGCTAGCCTACTCAAAAGGGTTGGAAAGGCTGAGAAGGGGAATATGGGCGATCTGTCCTGCTATTTCATGGTGGCTAGACTGGTTTACAGAATCTTCTTCAATGCCTTCTTGACGAAAGGCATTGTACCCACATATGCAGCAATGACCAAACGGACCCTGTCAGTGCCCCAGTGTCAGAGCCACAGATGTCTATGTGCTTACCACCCACCACAGCCATTGAAAGAGTGGCAAACTGGGTAACACTGAAGGTGACATCAGACACAAAAGCAACTGCTCTATGCAATTTCAACAGGGTTTTCCTAAGCCTCTCTGGATCTTGGTGAGGATTATCTAAAAGTTTAACCAGCCAGAGCACAGGTACTCAGGAAAGAACTAAGGCATCACAGAAGGCCATGGGTGGAAGTAGGAAGTAGTGCTGTCAGGAGCAAGAGCTACATCTGTTGAAGACTAAGAAAATCCTGACATCTAGGGTCTTATGAAGCCTCAGAGGCAAGAAGTTGACAGGCTCAAAGAGATGGTGCAATGAGCTTTCCTCTATATCTGAATCACCACTCCCCCTCCCATCTAAGAATTTAGGGTTCAATAAAGGATCACAGGGATCCAGATCATCTGACAGGTTTGAAGGCAGTAGAAGACAAGGGCAGGTGGTTGTGAGGGAAGAACTCACATACCTAAGAGAGGAAATCCTAAGGATGAACAAGGGGGGGGGCAACAGGTGGCAACAGACCTGGGGTGGTAGGAGGAGAATTGGAGGAATAAAAGGACCTTCCTTTTTTCTTTCATTTTTACACAGAGGAATAAGGCAACACAGAGATGAAAGGGACCTTAGCAGAGAAGGGGAGAAGAAAGAAAGTGCAAAAAACTTATGAAGGGGGTCAAGCAAGAGCTAGGACAAAGAAATGAAATAGAATAGGGTTGAGGAGCACCAAGGCATGCCTACTTCTTCAACTCTGTGGTGCAGTGTTTGGGTGCACAAGTGCCTGGATGCCTTCTTTAAGCCAATAGGCCCCACAGATGTATCAATCCTAGATTCAATACATGTAGTAGATGGTGGCACAGCAGAGATAGGGAGCGAAGACACCCTGGTCCACATTTCTGGGCTATGACTAAACTATAGAAGATCTCTGTCATTGCATTTGTAACACTGACAAATATAGTGGTACCTCGGGTTAAGTACTTAATTTGTTCCAGAGGTCCGTTCTTAACCTGAAACTGTTCTTAACCTGAAGCACCACTTTAGCTAATGGGGCCTCCTGCTGCCGCCGCGCCACCGGAGCACGATTTCTGTTCTCATCCTGAAGCAAAGTTCTTAACCTGAGGTACTATTTCTGGGTTAGCGGAGTCTGTAACCTGAAGCATATGTAACCCGAGGTACCACTGTATGCACATTATGTGTCATTAAACATAAAAATAAAAACACCTCAAGGTTATTTATTCATTACTCACCACTGGGTATTAGAAATAAAGCTCTTTGTAAAGCCTGAAGCTCCATTTCATGCATATCTTGCATACTTTCCTCTAGATCCTTTAGCTCTTCAGTCAAATGTTGTCTTAGCTCAGAAAGTTCCTGAAGTCTTTGCTCTACAAAATTATTTCAGGCCACTTCATAAAAGAACCAATACATTTGAAATAACTACATTCAGTACAAATTTGCAATGGATACACAATATCCATAGGAAATGGTTAATAGTAAAAGCACTTGTTGAAAGCTAAAATAACTATATATATGACCTCAACAACCCTATAGGGTTTATCACTGTATGGTCATCCCCATTTTTCCGATGCCAGGGGGAGATTCTACTAAAGGGGGAAAGCCTTCTCTCATAAAGCAAATAACATTCCACTTCTCTAATTTTGAGTGAAAAGTAGGAAAAGCTACAACAGGAAAGAGCAAGCGACTTAGGACTAGTTTTACTAATAACTAATAAGATGATGATGATGATTAAAATGGTTACAAGGAGCACATTTCAAAATGGTTCCTTAAATGAACTACTAGCTGTGCAGTATAACCAGAGGAAAATACACACTAGAAAAGCTGCCATTGCTGTTCTGTGGGTATGGCCCTAAAAACCGAAGACTCACGGGCAAAGACATGAGTTAAAAGGAAACATTTTTTAAAAGTACATTACAGGAAAACCAATTTAAGTTGTTGGTAAAATATACATTTTGACCAGCAGAATCTGCAGTGCTTAGCAGTTTCCCCACTTCCTAAAGTATAAGACCCTAGCTTAAAAGACCCACAGAAAGAGGAACAAGGGCAGATCTACACTCATGGTTTTTAACATTAAGGAAGGATTAAGGAATGGTTTCAATAACATATATGGACACATGACATCCTACTTTTAAGATTCATAATGCGTTATTAAAATGTGACACCAGAGGACGCAGCAGAGCAACCAGCAGCAGTTTGATGAAAAAAAACCCAAGGTAAAAAACACTTTAATTAATAAGTATGCCTTGTGACGTTTTAAAATGACATATCTAACATCATTCTAACAATGTTAAACAGATCAGTGTAGATCTAGCCCAAGTCTCCACTCCCTCAGATAATAGGTGCAGATTGGCTGCTGTGAAAAAGATGAGACACACTAGGGTATAAGCTTGTAAAGTATAAGCCTAAAAGTGTAATTATGACTCTGTTCAAATTCAAAATTCAAAAATATTTCTGATTAGCAAGCTACCACTAGTAATATAAATAAATAAAATCACTATCCCTCCTTCCTCAATGAACATATTTGTTTATGAAATCTTAATTAGGCATAAATCTGTCATTTATTATTTCTAGGTAAAAAAACATTTGAAGTTTTGTGCCTTTTTTACCATTCGCACTGTCTGACTGGAGAGATGCAAGCGTTTCTGCTTCTTGTAGATCTTTTAGATTTGAATCTAGTTTTTCTTGCAAAAGTTTTTTCTTCTCAGATAATGCAGAATGTTTCATTTCTACAAGGAAATGCCTCAGAATTATTATAAATGACTATTCCAAAGTTGTATTTAAAATTTGAAACAGTTTTGATTACTTTTCAAAGTAAGTTCTGTTGAAATCAGTTCTCTCTACTTCTGTGTAACATGGAAAGAGTTGTGCAATGGATTTGATGGAGTCCTCGGCCAAATCAGGCCTATTCAGAGGGATGATGCCACCTATTCATGGATTCAGGAAAAGTCCTCTCAAGGATTTTGCTTCCTCTCCAGAGAATTGCAGCTCATTGACTTTCAAACATGACAACCCAGACTCTTAATTCCAGCCAGCAAAAATACAACCTTAATTATCACTCAATAATACATCACTCACTTTTTCCTACTTCTTGAATATATTATCCATTGCTTATGTGTAGTTATTTAAGTGGATGGATTTGCTTACTATGCATTTTGAAAGTTAGGTTTGTGTGAGTGCTTAATAATGAAGAACATTAATTTTCCTTAGTTACCAATCTAATGACAAAAGAGTATACAGTGGATGCAATTACCCTGAAGTTTACTTTTTCCAACAATGCTTGAAGCAGAAGGTTGCGCCATTTGCAGATCCTGCAGGTTTGCTTCTAGATGAGCAGCCAGCACCTTTCTTTGTTCTTTAAGCTCTTTTATCTTTTTATCTGTGGAAACACAAACACTTTGTACATTTATTGTACATTTATTGGACTATATATATTTGAAACTAAATAGTATTTTCTGCTTTTAGATAATAATCTGCTTTTAGCAAATGTACCAATGAACAGCTATGTAATATCAATCATTCATATGTATATCCCACTTGATTATCACAGGTTTATGAAGCAAATTGCAATGCTATACAATTACAAAACAAACTTATGAAAACACAAAACCATAATAAATGTTTAAAGCAAAGGACATAGTTAACAATATCCATATGGTAATGGGCTGTGACAAGCCACACTGGTGTGGCAGGAGAGGATGACAAGAGTGGCAGAAAGAGCCAAGGATAATCAAATGAACATTTAAACATCTTAGTGTAGAGTAGCATAGCATAGCATAGCATAGCATAGCATAGTATCTAAATGTGGGTTTTTTTATTTGCAGAATATGCATAGATACATTTTCAAATCGAGAGAAAGAGCACCAAGTGATACCAAAGACAATCCTAGTTGTGATCCAGAATCACTGTTTGAACAGAGTTGCTGGAAAAGACTTGTTTGACACCAGCAGCAGGCCTAACCAAACCTCCCAAAAAGAAAGTTTGTTGACAATATGTGGATAGTTATCTGAGCCTTGGTTTTATATGGACTTCAGCTGAAGCTTCCTGAAAGGTACCTTGGGTACTCCTCTTAAAGGGGCACCAAGGCCTCCCCTATGCTAGCATTTCCATGTCTTCTGGTAAGCAATTCGTAGAGTGGAATTTCTCGGGCCTATCCGGAATACTTGCTGACAGCAGTGTTTGGGTGGAAATCGTCAAAATGTCCAATAAAACCCAAAAGGCTATTTTCTCTGATTTTCCATAAAAATAGCTCAAAAACGTCAATTTTTAAAGCTCAACTTAAATATGGCAACCCTAATAGAGCCAATTCTGTTCTATTTGTTTATTCTCTTCTGTTTGTTAATGTTTTGGCTTGAGTGATAGTTTCTTTTAGTGTATCAGAACAGAACAGCAGCTGAACAGCTTTTTAATGAATTGATAGCAGTAGGTTATAGAAAAACCAACTTTAAAAGGGTGAAATTAATTTACTAGCGTTAGAATCAATTAGAATCAAGTTAGAACAAGTAGTTAATGAGAACTTCTTGGTGAACGCAATCAATTTAGTGTGGTGTTAAAAACAGCTTTGGGGGAAGTGAATCAACTAAGACAAAAAAGGAGAAAAATCACTAGGGAAAGAATCAATTGTACTCTCTGCAGAAGAATTAATTAAGCACTCAAAGCACTGTAGAGGAAGTAATTAAGCACGTTACAGGGGGAAATAGTTTGGGGAAACTGCACCAAACCAACCTGGTGCAGTAAAACTTCTCAAAACAAGTGAGCAAATCACTCGTAAGAAAGAAGTAGTGACAACAGAAAAAAAGCAGTTAAAGGTCAGATGAGCATCCAACAATAAACTCTGCCTGCTTTAAGTAAGGGCAGAAAAATGAACTGTCACTCAAGAGTGGGACAGTGGAGAAGCATCTGACAGTGGTGATTTTTTCCTTGGCTTCAAGCGAGTTGAGCAAAATGATATTGCAGCTGGTGGTGTCCTGGTGTTCCCTGGAGAAAGGTTATGTGGAAAGTTTATATTTAAAAATTGGAAGAGTAATCCTAAATTAAGGAAAATTCCAAAAAGCAGCTGTCACAGCTGAGAAAATTCTAGACCTTGGCCCCACAATCTAGATGTCCCAGGGTGAACAAACACACAGCAAGGCCTTACCAAGATTTTAATGCATGAAGGAAATTACACTGGAAGACATGCCCCTTTGGATATCCTGATCACAGGTCACTAACAGTGTTCAGTGTTAACATCAACACTTGCATGGGAAGTAAGAAAGAACTCATCAGCACCCCCAGTAAAGGACAGCTCACATGGAATACAGTAGATCGGTAATCTCTCAAAAACCACTGTCTACAACCTCCTCGGATTATGATCCATCAGTGTGATCAAGGAAGCTTTATCCCTAACCATAGTTTATATTACAGTTTAATTCTATAGCAACCAGCTTAATATTTGTAAGTTTCCTTAAATAGTACTTCACATTTTAGCTAATATTATTTGAACTCGAATTAACATTAGACTATTTGTGTGCAAAGTGGCTTGATCTTCCCTACAAAATAATCAAGAAGTGTGCCAAAAGTAGTTTAAATGCTTTCTTTTTGTGTGTTTTAAAAGATACAGAAATCTATTTTTTGCCACATTTTATTTTGTTTTAAAGTGATACAAGCCTACGTGAACCTAGTAAAGAAAAATCTAAGGTTTCCCATGTTTAGTTTGACATTAGAATATAGCATAACTTTGCAAATGGTTTGGGGTTGAGATTGTACTTACCACTCACACTTCCTGGTTGGGTAGTGGCAAGAGTTTCAGCTTCTTCTAACTCCTTCATATTTGATTTCAAACTTGCAAGCAAAACTTTTCTTTCTTTTGAGAGCTCATTCTATTTCCTTCTCTGCAAAAGTGAAACATGTGAGAACTAAGTGAGAATGTTCTCATGGAGATAAAAAATAATACAGGAAGCAGATAAGTGTGCAGACAGAGCATATTGAGGGTCCCTTGCACTCTTGGCAAGGAGCTGTATCAGCAAATGCTGTAATTGATGATAATCAGAGTTTTGTCCTCATGGCACATTAAAAGGAGCATGAAGTATGTTGTCATCCTTGCAAAATTCCAGAGCAGGAGACCCAGAGAAACTAGAGGCTCCCCTTGCTCTGTCACAGTGGGGGAACTGCGCAAAGGACCTTATGATGTTAAGTGGGGATGAGTTAGGAGGCAGCAGCTCTGTCAACATTACAAGGGCTCAGGCTCAGTTTGCTTCTTGCTGAAGCCATGTCAAAATTCTGCCCAGCATTATATCAATGCTCATCTGAATGTGGTGCCCACAACACATTGCTCTGGTTTGCAAATGTGCTTACGGTTCTTCAAAAGGGTTGGCCACCACTGGGGCTACAGGAATGATACAATCACTAATCGTTGCTGTTTATCATTTCTTTCTCTTTTGTTACAAAGTGCTTTATGCAACTTTTATCTCTTTCAAATCTTGTCTAGTCTGTGGGTTGGTTGCCTTGCTCCTGGGGATCAGCAAGAGTACACGTTTGGTAAATTAGCGTACGCTACAATCCCATAATGGTCTGCTCAATACTAAGGGGCCCCTCCAGCCATCTTTTTTGCAGAGAATTCATCAATGATTTGGTGTCCACAGTGTTATTGGGGGTATTATATGCATTGCCTTAAATACTGTTTACACCTGCAAAAATGTTGGGGTGGTCCTGCTGCTTCTTTTCCAGTCAGTGCATATTCTATAACTTCCTGCTGAGATTGTTTAACTTTTCATATCATAAACATTCTTGGGGTAGGTGGGAGGGGCAGATTCCTGCTTCTGTTGCACTCTTGCCCATCCGGACAGCAAGAATGCGGTAGCATTGGGCAAGCATTGCAAGAAACATATACAAAATAAATACACCATTGATACACTAGATCATGCCAAGAGCATGTTGCTAAGTACAACTGGAACAGCAGAATAAACAGGAACCATAGGAAGGGAAAGTGCCCTTGTTCTCAATCCTATTTGCTGGTCTCCCAGAGTCATCTTATGGCCACTTGAGATAAGGATGCTGGACTAGATGGGCCATTGGCCTGATCCAGTAGCCTCTTCTTATGTTCTTAATTGCAGCAAAAGACCAGTCTGGGGGGAGGGGGCAAGTCTTCTGGAGTTTATAATGCTAAGTTGATTCAGTTTTGCCCTTCCCTCTCTTTCACACACAAAAACACCCTCCTTTCCAAAGCCACATCTGCAAAACCAGAACAAGAAACTCTGATCAGTTAAAAAGTTTAAGCAAAGTCAAAAACAACACCTGCTGCGCACTCTAAACCCAAGGAAAAGCAGTTAGGTTCCAGATGGTGACTAATAGTATGGAGAAGATACCAACACCACCCACCCTCATTCAGCAAGTTTGGGCTTGCCATACGTCCGGAAAATTCTGGACATATTCGGAAATTGGGTGCCTAAAATGGCATTTGAGGAGAATTTTTGAATTTTAAAAGATGTCTGGAGGTTCAGAGCTGACAGTCTGGGCATGCATGGGTGGGCGAGGGCAGCTGCTGCCAGGGAAGGAGACGAAGAATGCAAGGCTGTTGCCTCCCAGTGCAATGGGACAGAGCACTGTCAGCTGGGGGCCGGCAGCCATAACCACCTCTGAGCACTCTCTGTCTCTCTCTTTCAGGATAGCTCAGCATGACACTCTTAATCTCAGGTTGTATGTTTGAGTCCCATGTGTTGGGGAAAGATTCTTGCATTGCAGGGGATTGGACTAGATGATCCTAAGGGTACATTCCAGCTCTGCAAATCTAAATCTAAAATCTCTCCCTTTGGGAGAGCCCGGCTGTGTAGAACTGAAATATGCCTGCCGCCTGGTGCCTAACCAACCCCAGAAAGATGAATATTAAACAAACAAACAAACAAACAAACAAACAAACAAAGCTGAAGTTGAAAAATGTGTCCTCTTTTGGGAGTTTCCTTAAAAAAAGAAAAAAGAGCTCTTGAAATCATGGACTTCATCATGGGGAAGGATTTCTTCAAGCCAATAAATCCATTTGGACTGACTCAAGTAAATTTGAAGGAATATTGTATATCTTTTTTAAAAAGATACGTTGCTCATGTTATTTACCTGGATTGAATTGCTTATTATGCATTTTGAAAGTAGGGTTTGTGGGAGGGTTTAATAGCGGAGAACATGAATTTCCATCGGTTACCAATCTAATGACAACAGAGCATACATACAGTGAATGCACTTACTCTGAAGTTTGCTTGCTTCAGCAGGTTCTGGAGCAGAACCTTGCGCCATTTGCAGATCCTGTTGATTTGCTTCTAGATGCAGCTAGTACCTTTCTTTGTTCTTTAAGCTCCTTTATCTTTTTATCTGTGGATACACAAACACTTAGTACATTTAATGTAAGATATATATTTCAAACTAAATAGTACATTTTTGCTAATAATCTTCTTTAAGTAAATGTGTCAACAAACAGCTATGTAGTATCAGTCAGTCATATGCATATCCACTTGCTTGTCCTAAGCTCATAAAGCAAGCAGCAATGATTTATTTATTTTTGTAAAATAGAATAAAATGATGAAATCACATCAAATGTTTAAAATATTAGAATGTGCTTCAACCTTCAAAATGGGTTTTATGTGGAGATTGTACTTACCACTCACACTTCCTGGTTGGGCAGCAGCAAGAGTTTCTGCTTCTTCTAACTCCTTCATATTTGATTTCAAACTTGCAAGCAAAACCTTTCTTTCTTTTGAGAGTTCATCAATTCCCTTCTCTGCAAAGTGAAAAAAAAGAGAGAGATTTTTTCCAATCTTAAGTTTAGTTAGTTCAACATTTCCACTTCAGATTATTAATTATTAATTAATTAATTAATTAATTAATTAAAGACCCTCATGAAAATTCACCAGCAATTTAATGTGCATTTCTCATTCACAAATTTGTGGGTTATTTTCACTAGCATATGCATTTGTGTGCACATTCCATCCTTATACACACATATATTAGTTTTCCAGTGGCACAGTGGTTCAGTGTGTCTGGCAGTTAACCAGAAGGTTGGTGGTTTGAGCCCTACCAGGGATTGCTGTGGGCAGGCTTCCTGCATTGCAGGGGATTGAACCAGATGACTTTCAAGGTCCCTTCCAACTCTATAGTTAAATATTTTGCATATTTTACTAAATATTTTTAATATAGGAATGTATAAAAATAACCTTTCATTGAATAATTGAATAATCTTGTAGCACCAAATGTATTATGGTATGAGCTTTTGTGGGCTCAAGCCCACTTTGTCAGAAGCATGAAGTGATATATTAGTTGGCAAGTATGTAAAGGAGCTACTCTCACATAGCTATGCTATCATTCACAATGTGATTTGAAAGACCTTTAAATTAATAGAAAAACTTCTATTGAGAAGAACAGACTTTAGCTCACAGCAAGGTTTTCTGGTCATGGGCAGCCCATCCTATTTTGCTGCCTGAGGTGAAAAAGGAAGGTGCTGTCACCCAGCTGAAGCTTCACTTACTGGGGTTGTGCAGTTGCAGCTTCTGTGTTCCAGTGAGATCTTGTGAGGAGTCTGTGAGATCTTGGGGGAACATAAGAGCCACAGTTGCTTCTCCTTACTTCTCCACTAGCAGCAGTGGGGGGTAGGCAGCAGGCAGGGCACCCCACTGCCATGGAATAAGTGAGAAACAGCAGCGATGGCAGCAACATCTCATGAGAGCTGCACAAGATCTTGTCAGAAGCTGCAGCTTCTCTTGATTTTTGGGCAGGGGTGGGTGGGATTCCTTCCTCCTAAGGCAGTTGCTGCAGTCCACCTCAAGAGTAGGCTGGCCCTGCGTCTGCTGTTCATCTATGATCCCATTCTTGTTTTGAAGAATATGACAGAAATCAAAGAAACTTTATATTGGAGGGTAGTATATATGTAGGTTAAGCATGAAATATCAGAAAAATCACAAAACACAACAGGAATACATTGAATTGCAATTGGGTATAACAGAGACAATCCAGATATAGCAGCAGTTAAAAATATATATTAAATCTTGATATTAAAATATAACCTAAAATTGTCATTTAAAACCTTAGTCATTTGAAATATTTGCTAATGGTAATAATATTTTAAATTTCTGCTTATAAAGTTTTAGAATCTCCTTCCTTGACAGTTTTCACAGAAATTTTAAACAGGTTTTTGCAATGAATCCTATCCTTCCTCTCAAATCATTCTGCATGTACTCAGAATGAACCTTCGCTAAGACTGGATCACTTGGTCACTTGGGTTTCTTATTGGCCTAAAATACACATGTGTATGGAATCCAGAGTGGTAGAGCAGATGTTTTACATGCAGAAGGTTCCAAGTTCAATCCCATCTTCAGCTGGAGTTTGGGATGTTCCTTGCTTTAAATCCTGAAGAGCCAGTCTTTCCAGTCAGTGTAGACCATACTGAGGTGAATGGATCAATGGCCTGACTCAGTATAAGGCAGCTTCCTATGTTCCCCTTTCACACCTCCCAAGTTTAGTGGTTCACTAACTCTGATTCAGCTATATTTATGACAGCTATACTGGTGAGCAATATAAATGAAATCTCTCTGTAGTAAAGATTTATTCCAATATTACAGCCTCCAGTACAGATTACTAACATTTTTTCTGAAGCATTTTTTTCTGGCAGTGCACCTGCCCTGAGAACTACTATTCTTTTACTTTAACTTCATCCTATAGAAAGCCTGACACAGTTATTGCACATCATTGTAGTTGTGTGCTCCAAAGTGTGTTGTATTCCTTTCTGGACTGCTTTTGTGTCTATTTCATGTCATTACCTTAAAAGGCAAATTCTATGACAGCTAATATATATAAGGCAAAACCCAAAAGATCTCTTCATATATTTTGCTAGCAGCCTGCTGATTCTTTGTCTTTGCCCTGAACTCTGCTTGTAACTGTTAATTATCATAAATTTATTTTATAAAATTTATACGCTGCTTGATTGTTTAAAAACCCTCAAGCAGTTTTCCTGATTTTTTCTGATTTGTGTACTTTGTGCAGTTCCAAATATGAGAATACACTAACACATATAACAGGTGAAACCTTCTATTTGGAAGTAAGGAGGCACCAGCTCTCCTCCCTTGCACCCATGGAATGAATGCCTTGGGAGCTCAGGGAGATGGCATAATTGCACTTATGATACTCATTGGGGTTCTATTTTTCTGCCATGCTGTTTAACACCTATATGAAATTACTGAGGCAGGTAGTCTGAAGATTTGAATTGTGATGCTGTCAGTATGTTACCCATAACCAGCTCTTGTTCTCAGTTGCATATGAACCCAGGGTTAGATCAGGGGAAATAAGCTGAAGTTCAATGCTGTTAAGATGGAAGCTCAATTTTGGAGGCTTCAGGACAGGCAAAGGAAATATTTTCACACAGTGCATAACTGTGGAATTTGCATCTACTGGAGGTAGTGATGTCCACCAACTTGCATTGCTTTAAAAGAAAATTAGATAAATCAATGAAAGATAAGACTGTTATTCGCTGCCAGACACAATTGCTGTGTTATACCTGTTTTTGGAGGCAGCATTATTCTGAATACCAGTTGCTGGAAACTAAATGAGAGGAGAATGCTTTTGCACTCAGGTCCCACTGAAGGCTTCCCAGAGGCATCAAGTTGGCCATTATGAGAACAGCATCCTGCTGAACTAGATGGGCCATTGGCCTGGTTATGCAGGCTCTTACTATGTTCTTAGTTACTGTTGGTAGATGTTTCAATGGTTCTGAGAAGTGGTGTTGATCATTTCTGTTGCAGTTAGTGAACAGATTTATAGCTCAGGCCCAAGGTATAAATCTGCCCAGGATTTAAGATTAGATATCCAGAGACCTCTCTCCAGAGAGAGAGAATTATTTAAGTAATGCTATTCTGTTTTAGGAATACCATCCTGAGAAAGTTGGGAAGTACTTTGAATATTATTGTTTCAATACAAAGTTTCCATTACATTTATCAAGCCTTTAACTGAGTTTTAGTAGAGTCCTTGCTGCTCTGTTTTCAGCAATTGATTTTATTGTGATTTTATTATGTGATTTCTTTCTGATTTCAGTCTCCTACTTGTGACTGTTGTTTCTGTATGTGTGTTTTAATGTGCCCACCATTTAAAAAAAAAGTAGTATTAAATTTTTTGTTCTTTCGATTATCTATTGCTTTGGAAAGTATTAGTGGAAAAGCAACTTATAAACATGTAAAAAAAATAGTTATCACAGCTATCACAGTTCAAAGACACATTCCAGCCAGTCAAAAGCAGTTGAGGAGAGCCTGGAGTAAGGCCACTGAGAAGTGTGGCCTAGAAGAAGGCATGATCTCAGGAAAGTCCTGAAGATCAGGTAGAAAGGCTTGGAGGGCTGCATTTAGGCCATGGGCCTAAGGTTCCCAGCCCCTGATGTTCAGCTTACTACTTACAAAGATAAAAAAGGATGAAGTCAATCTGAACTACAAAACAGTGAGATAAAGGAAAGAGTCAAATATTAAGTTATCATATTTACAGGGTTAATTTTCCTTATGCATATGAGGTAAACCTGTGCTGCTACCATGAATAATAAGATTAATGTATGGCACACATACAATGTTACAATTTCCAGAGAGGAAGCCATGCCGGTTTGTGGAAGTAAAAATCCACCCTTTAATTTATCATGGTATAAACTGTTGAGGACTACAGCTCAGCTCATCAGGTGCAAGCCTGTTATCCTGAGTTATCAGTATTATTACACATAGGATTCTTTTTGGAAGGTGGAGGGTTTGCAAACAGTGCTTATCCAAATCTACTGTCAGTTTTAACACAATTTTTAGGAATTATAAATACGTAACTGTTAAAGAGCACTGACAGAATTTTTTATTAAAATTAATCCCGGGTTGCTCTTTAGGTCTTAAAAGAATTCCTGAAAATCTTTGAAGAATCCTTCCCCCAATTCCATGAGGAGTGAAATAAAACCAAAACAAGGATGCTGGGTCTTGCTGCTGAATAAATAAGACGGTTTGAGCTTCAATATGTTCTGCAATCTTATTAAACTTCAAGGAAAAACACCAATAGAAAAGTTTTGATGTCCACCTTAGCCACTTGTCCTTTAGTCTTCGTCTGTTAGTTCATTCATATGTATTGGCCACATTCCTCAAATTTAAGTGCCCCAAATGGCTTATGTAACTCCAATACAGAATAACAAAAGTCAGATGTAAAGCATTTAGCATGATTGTGAAGACAAAAGGTAGTGCTTTTTTCTGGGCGGACACAGGGGGACGCATACCCCTAAACATTTTATGAATCTGAGTTTTGCGTCATTGAGGGGCAGTATTTCAATATGAGTAGGAAAATGAGAGTACCCCTAAACATTTTTTAGGAAAAAAGCACTGCAAAAGGGTAACAGAAAATGAATTCCAAGGTAACCATGGGTCTGATCTTGAGTGGCGCCCAGGACCTGCTGTGAGATGTAAGTGTCATTGAGCCAGTTGGGACCAGTGACTAAAATGCTATTAAATTAAATATACCTATACAGTCAAGAAAATCCAACATGGTCAGGCTGATTTCAAAGGAGGAAACTTCCCCCAGATAAGATTTGTAAAAAGGAAGCTGAGAGGAAAAGTCAAGAGGGTCAAATCACTGCAATGACACTGCAGATCAGTCAAGGTACCACGAGGGCCAATAAGATGCCAGCATGAATATTATAAGAGTCAAAGAAGCTATTGTAGACAAGAAGGATTCTTTCCAAAAGTGGAAGTGTTGTCCAAATGAAGACAACAAAAAGGAACACAAACTTTGACAAGTTTGTAAGCAAGAGTAAGGGATGCTAAAAATGAATTTGAGGAACACTTTGCTCAAAACATTAAGACCAACAATAAGTTCTTTAAATATATTGGTAGCAGGAAACCATCTAGGTAGGTGCTTGGGCCTTTGGATGACCAGGGAGTCATAGGTGTGCAAAAGGAGGATAAGTAGATTGTGAACAATTGAATGAATTTGTGTCATCTGTCTTAATGACAGAAGATATAGGCAGATCTCAGTGCCTGAACTAACTTTTGTGGGAGGTGAGCCTGGGGAAATTAAGGCAGATAGTGGTAATGAGAGATGAGGTTTTGGGCATAATAGACAATGTGAGTAATATTATTATTTTTTTGTAGAGTCAGCAGCCGTCCTCTATCCATCCATCCACTTTTGATGAATTCTCTCAGATGTTTTACAGTATTGGGCAACTTCTGCTCTGGCAATCACAAGTTACAGTAGTACTTAGTCTAGGCCTCAGATCCAAGACTGGTGAACTGGACTACTTGATCTTAAAGGATGGCATTGATATAGTGGACATTACAGAAACCTGGTGGAATGGAGAGAACAAATGGGACATATTTTTTTCTGGATATAAACTCTATAGGAGAGAGGGAAATACATACTGAAGGTGGTGTATCTCTGTATGTCAAAGAGCATTGAGTCCAGCAAGATAAAAATCCCCAAAGGGGCAGACTCCTGCACAGAATTTTGTGTGTAGTGGAACTGGGCACATGAAGAATTCAGTGCTAGGAATGTGCTATTGTTCCCCTCATCCAAATGCTCAGGGAGATATTGAGATGAGGAATCAAATCAAGGAAGCATTGTAAAGAGTAAATGTTGTAGTTATGGGTGACTTCAACTACCCTCACATAGACTGGCTACATATGTGTTCCATTCATGACAAAAAGGTAGAATTTCTAGATACCATAAATGACCGTGTCCTAGAAAAGTCATGGAAACAACCAGAGGGGTTATTGACCCTGGACCCGGGTCAAAGACCCAGTTTGGCACCCCATCCCTGGATGTGTGTTTGCGTACATACACATACAAACAAACACCTCAACAAATTAAGGTCAAAAAAGTAGACAATATATTATTTGAATGCAAAGGAATCCTAAGAAGTAGTATGACTGTATGACCAAAGGGAAAATGAGCATCCCTTCCAGTAAAAGCAAATTGTGCAGCAATTGTTTATTTGAGTTCAGGTTTTGAATTGGATTTATTTGGCCACAGGATCATTAAAACACTGCATTTCCATAAGATCAGCCAAGACCCTCTGGTTTCCTTTTAAAATGCTTTTCTCTCTCTCTTTGAGGCTTTTTGTCACCCACCCCTCTTCTTGGTTCTGAGCAAACCCTTTCAATGAGTTTTGACGTGTAAATTTACTCCCAAATAATCTTTAACTGGGACGCGGGTGGCGTTGTGGGTTAAACCACAGAGCCTAGGGCTTGCTGATCAGAAGGTCGGCGGTTCGAATCCTTGCGACAGGGTGAGCTCCCATTGCTTGGTCCCAGCTCCTGCCAACCTAGCAGTTCAAAAGCACGTCAAAGTGCAAGTAGATAAATAGGTACCGCTCCGGTGGGAAGGTAAACGGCATTTCCATGCGCTGCTCTGGTTCTCCAGAAGCTGCTTAGTCATGCTGGCCACATGACCCGGAAACTGTACACCAGCTCCCTCGCCAATAAAGCGAGATGAGCGCCACAACCCCAGAGTCGGCCATGACTGGACCTAATGGTCAGGGGTCCCTTTACCTTTACGCTTTAACAAGATTCCTTTCAATTTTATTTTTATTTGATTACTCATTTTAGGAAATGATAATTTTGTAGTCATTTTAGGTTCCATGTATAGTGAAGAAATGCTTTTTGTGAGTCTAAAGTAGAAAGTGCCCTTCCATTACAATCCTAATGCAGAGCTTGTCAGGGAAATGCCTCAGGCACGAAAAATGCTCACATACTCCTTACTTTCCTATATGTAGATCATGTATAGTCTGTAAAATGACTCATCTTTAGCTATTTAAACTCATTAAAAGTTCTGAAGGAGTCATAGAATCATAGAATTGTAGAGTTGGAAGGGACCTCAAGAGTCATCTAGTCCAACTGTTTCTCTTCCTCAGCTTCTTGCCCCTCCCTCCAACCCTCCAGAATTTCTTTCTCACACAGTAGCAAACCCACAGAGGATCCTATTTAATCCAAGTTCCTAAGGCTGCTTGAAGTGTAGCAAGACCAGCACCTGGAACACTAATGCTCTGTACAGTGGTGCCTCGCAAGACGAAAATAATCCGTTCCGCGAGTCTCTTCATCTAGCGTTTTTTTCGTCTTGCGAAGCAACCCTATTAGCGGATTAGCGCTATTAGCGGCTTAGCGGCTATTAAAGGCTTAGCGGCTTAGCGGCTAAAAGGCTATTAGCAGCTTAGCGGCTTAGAAAAAGGGGGGGGGGAGAGAAAAAAATCGCAAGACTTGCAAGACGTTTTCGTCTTGCGAAGCAAGCCCATAGGGAAATTCATCTTGCGAAGCAACTCAAAAACGGAAAACCCTTTCATCTAGCGGGTTTTTCGTCTTGCGAGGCATTCGTCTTGCGGGGCACCACTGTATTCTGACTTTTGAATATTTGTTGTAAACTGCTTTGGGCATAGCTCACTGTGACAAGGTGGCATCTAAATAAACTCAGTCAATGAGAGGTAGAGTTGATATGAAATGGCAAACTGGAGAAACGGTAGTACCCAAAATGTGTATTAGATGCATATAAACATGAGTTCCTATTGTCCAGTGGTAATTGCCAGAATCCAGCTTTGGCATTTAGAGTGGGGAAGTATTTTGCTCCTGCTACATTTTTAAAAAATGTGCTGTCTAATTGGGAGGGAGAAATGTTCCCATCTAATGTACTTTTAAAGCTGATTTGGCTCCAGACATAACCCAAGTGATGCATCTTCCTTCTCTATTAGTACATAAATAATGAACTGCTTTTGAGGGATTTTCTCCTTTTTCAATTATTTTTCAAAACTCCAGCCATTTGAATTTTTGCCTAAATATCTATAAAGAAACTGCAAGGGATTCCACTGCTTTATTTGGCTTTATTACTTACATTTTATACCCGGTGTCTACCTTGCATATACTTTCAAAGAAATCAAGCTATTTTGTATGAATGTGCGGACCTTTTGCCTTGCTTACTAGATCCAGTCTTTTAGTTTACTCCAGAGCATGCCACATTTATGGTCCTAGAACTGACTCTGTGTTTTCCTATGGTATCACAAACAGAATGATACCGGCTTCATTTTAGGATATAATCTCCAACTCACAGACATCTCTGTGTGGGATTGTTACCCCATTGTAAGCCTCATTTTTAAATAACCGCGCCAGTTAAAAAGATAATAAACAATTTTGCTCAAAGATCACATTTACCTGAGTTCAAGTATCCAATTTGTATTGCACCACAGTTTCACCGTAACATTCTCTGTGACATAGCTGAGAGAGCTGAGTGGAGAGACAAACATCACTGGAATAAATACTGTTGTTGTGAACTGAATCACTTTCATTAAATGAAAGAAATGACCACCAATTATATATATTTTGTGACTGGGGAGGTGCCTGCACATTTATTTATTATACATCTGTTAAAACAAAGAACATTGTTAGCTCTTCAGCTTATTCTTTCACAATATACAACTCTGTGTCCTTGTTCTCACATCGCAATAAGCCAAGTCTTGGCTTAGCATGAATGTGAAAATGTGTAGGCTGCAAGAAAGGAATTGGCAGCCACTTTGCTACACCCTGGTCTTTTTTGCTACCACACTGCACTGAGCTGAAGTAAGGTTTGGCTTGGCCTGACATTCATACTTGAGCTTGTAGTTAAGCTCTTTCTGTCCAGACTAACCACCAGATGTAACCAAGGTTTGTTGTTGGTTACAACTAATGGTTGGTCTGGACAGAGCTGAACCATGAGCCTTTGTTTGGATGACTGGTTAAGCGAAATCTTGGCTTAGCTTGGCATGCCAGCAAAAAAGGACTGTGGAGGAGAAGAATGGCAGCAAACTCTTTTCCAGGACACTGCACATTCACTCAAAGGCAAGGTTTGTTTTAGCATGATATGTGGACCAGGCCTGTAGTTGACGAATAAAGACATACAAGTTTACTGGTTCCATTTAACTTTATTTGGGTGGCGGCAGAGGGTAATAAGTAACAGCTGTTTTTAAGCTTTCTTAGCTGACAATCCCTATGTTTTAAATCTTAAAGTGCGGAGAAAAAAACATATGGCAGTCCTGTTTCAGAATCCTCACCATCGCCTCCAATTGAAGAAAAGCAGTTGCCTGCTTTAACAAAAGTTGTGGAAGAAACTGTGTCAGGAACCTTAGATAAGTCTCCTGAGGAAGTGCTTCCACCTGACTTAAAAAAAAGAAAAACCACCTCTCCTGAACTTACTGTCCCAGAAGAGACAAAAAGTTTGCCCACCAGTGAGCAGGAAGCTTCATCGCTTCTTTCAGAAATCGAAATGGAAGATGCAGCTCAACCTAAGACAATTATGAGAGATACTAAAAGGATATCAGCAGCTATCAGTCCAGAACAGGTACAAACAGCTGCTACTACAGCAAATGAGAAGAATACTTGATGTCAAAGAGGACGTCGTGTAGTATTATTTACTGAAATAATTTAATATAGTTGGCTATATTCATATATTGGTAAAAATAGCTATATATGACCAGCAGATACTGTTATTATGTACATAAAATATTAGAATATAAACAATACAGAAACAAATGAGAATATTACATGTTATCATTTCAGAATGCCTGTGTACTAATGGAATGTTAATACATTCATGTTTATTATTTGATAATTGAAACAACGGTAAGATCTTAAATCTGTGAAATACCGATGACTGATTAGAAATTATAGAAAAACGTTCATATCACCAGACATTAAAACACATAATGAAAAGTGCACATGAATTGGTGAGTGTTGAGTAAATTAGCAATGAGACACTAACAGTCCAGTCCAAACCCAAGATTCTCCAGGATTAGAGAGTTTGGATCTGGGTCTGCTGGGACTATGCTGGAGTTAGGTTCCTCACTCCAGCTCAGCCAGGACTCAGTTGATGTAAGTTATGTTGGTGTAAGTCCCCCAAAAGTTGTGGGACATGCAAACAAAGACTTACAGCTATTGCAAATTCCTCTCAACTTGCTCATGTGACCTGGTAACCTGTTGAAATGACATTGGCAAAAAGGGGACGTCAAATTCTTCCATAGAATTCACTGGAGGGGGCCCAATCTCCAAAACTCACCCCAACACTCACCTACTGGTTACACCCAAACTTAGGTTTGCCATACATTGAAGAGCAAAAAAGAGGACAGCCCGAGCCACTGCCAGCCCAAGCTGGGGAAAGAGGCATGTGGGGGCGCCCACACACCTTTCCCAGCTCAGGCTGGCAGTGGCCATGACGTGCAGAGCAGCCTGCACCCAAGCCACCCAAGCCAGAGCTAACCTCCCCCCCAAAAAACTTGAGCATTTTCTTTTAAATGTAAAAATCTGCCGGATGGGCATGTTGGCCTCCTCCAAAAAGAGTACAGGTTTTTCTGGACGCATGGCAACCCTACCCAAACTGAGAGTGCTCTCAGAAATAGATGTAACAACAATCCCTTCTTCTCATAAAATTAACATATCTCAGAGGCATTCCAAGAAAGTAGAAAAATGGGATGTTTTCTCCTTTCTATTTTCCCCCATTGTTTTCCATAGGCTTCCACTTTACAAAAAGAAATCCCACAAACGTACATGGATTCTTCAGGACTTGAAGGTAATTCTTCTCTTCTGTAATTAAAAATAATAATGGTTAAGGCATGCAATAACATTGTATCGGGAATTTTTGGAGAACAGGAGAATTTGTGTAGAAAAAAATATTTTGGTACAGACATTCCTAAATAAGTTTTTATAAAGTTTAATTTATATAGGACATTTTATACCACCCATCATAGTATATATCCCAGGATGGTATATAGCTGTGCTACAGCTCAAACCTAGGCATGTTTACTCAGAGATAAATTCTACTGTGCTAGTTCCAGTGTAAACAGGATCTTAGTGTTTCATTTGTTATTCCATTTAGAATTTTGTAACTTTATACAAGTGGTGCCTGAATTTATTTTCTTGTCCTCTTCCTTCCTCTGCAGTCATGACTTTTAGATCATGTGTACATTTACAGACTACTTATACTGCAGCTCCTATATAAATCACTCAGGGAATTTTTTTAGCTGAAGAGTGGGATAAAATAATGCTTGTTTTTTTTTAAAAAAAACCCTTTTAAATGAGATTCTGCAGGACAATGGAACTTCTCCCCTCCTTCATTTGCACCCTCTTCAAATCTGCTCTGGAGGTTAGGAGAACCCCCAGAACAGTGTGGGAGGAGAGGGGAGATAATACTTCCAGGCACGCTATGTTGAATACAATCCCTTATGTTTCTGATGCATGGATAACACTGTTTTATTAGAAACTGTAACTGTTCCTACCCTGTAGAGACATAATATTGCCAATATTTCTCCTTGCCCTTACATACACAACAACAAAACCCCTTTGTTTTACTTTATAGAGGGTGGAACTAAGAATTTGATTAATAAAAAAATGGATCAGCTTGCAAACAATTTGGCAGAGCTGGAAGGAGTTCCTGAAGCAGAAACTTTAGCCAAACTTTTGCTAGAGCCTAGCAAAGGCATGGGTAAGTACATTCAGATTCCTGAGAATTTAAGGGTACAGGATGTGCTTGTACAGATTCAGGCTGTAGATTCAGGCTTGTAGACATCGCTGGAGGTCTGCAACTTTATTAGGCTATATCTAAAGGATTAAGTGGGAGTCAGAAGGCATCAGGTACATTACATTCTTTCATCTGCACATGGAACCCTGAAATTAGACCTGTGGTTCCAAGTTTTGGAGGGCCCAGGAGTGCATTTGGAAATGTAAGAAACTGTTGTAGGCATCTTAACATACAAATTTCACAGAAGGAAAATTGGCAATGCTCAGGTGTTCTCCAAGCAAACAAAACACAGACAAAATAAAAGGCAACGCCTTGCAAAAAACCCCAAAACAAAACCGAACCCCCCCCATCTCCTAACCAAACAATAAACAAAATAATATAGCTTCAGTTTTTTAAAAAATAATACAGGGGTCTTTGGTGGATTGAAAGGAGGATGCACCACACTGGGCGCCTTAGGATTAGAATGTGGCCCTGATATAGCTGACCATTTTGATAACATTTGGTGTATTTTTTAAAAAACTATTAGTTGTGTATTCCTACAGTAAAGGCCAACATCCATAGCTGGGTTATTATTCCCATCCACTCTAGTAGGCAAGGCCAAAGTTCACAGTTTAGTGGTGTGGAAGGCCCCCCTTCTAGTTCTGGTTTTGCCTAGCTCCAGACATCAGGGATTCAGTTTCTGTCTTCTGTGTTGTTGCTGTTTTTGCAGTTCCCCTCCACTTTCTTAATATCTGTACATTTTCTTGTGTATCCTGTCTTTCCTTTTGCTCAGCATTAGAAAGCAGCAGGGGTCAGGAAGAGTTTGTTCCCCATGCTATGGGAAGGTGACAGCCCCAGCCAGGACTGTTGCTGGATTTCTCAGAAGATGTTACATCTAGGGCACACAAAAATGGAGGATATCCCTTCCAGTGCCCAGTGCCAAATGGCCCCAACCCACTCATAGCAATGGTAACATCCCTCTCATCACTGTAGAGCCAACTTCCCTGAATAACCACCCTGAAGAGTAGTAGTCTTCACAATGCTAGGCACCATGGAATCAAACAGGTGTTCATCAAAGAGCTAGGACTAGTGACAATGATGCAGTGTCTGATGCATTTCTGGATGCATTACAATGAATCCACTACAATGGATCCAGGTCTATGATGCCCATTACTATAATACTCTGTAATATATGGTTACCACAGTGGGAGGTAGATCCAGGTTGCCAGGTCAGACCAACAAGTCTTCCTCCACTGTAGAAGAATTTACTTACTGTGAAGGTGGCTGTTTTACAGTGAATGGAGGGCATGCTATTCACCCAACTGAGATTATGGCTAGCTACGGAATGATTAGCACAGTGATAATGCAGTATGCTAGTTAGTTTGCTGACCAAAGGCATACAGTATGTTTAGTTAAACTGCCATTTCATCATAATTTAAGGAGATACAAAAATGAGATGCATCCGTCTGATCTCTTTATATGAGTTCTGTCTGCAAAAGTTGGATATATGTATATGTGGGTACTGCACAAGCAATATGATTATTGTAAAGAGAGATTTCATTAGAAAAAAATAAGTTGCAAGATTCAGTAATGTGCAAATATAATGTAAATAAAGCAAGCTTTTACATATTTCTCCCTACAAACTGTAGATAGTATAGCCTTCTGTAACTGTCTCTGTCTTATTTGCAACAGATATGGATGTCACTATAGCAACTGGTACGGGAAGGGTTAAGAATGCCTGTTTTCTAAGACTTGTTTTATAATTATATAATTAGCCGATCACAAAAGAAGTAGTACTTCATTCTGTCACATTTCCTAATTATTCTGTAACTTGCTTTTGCCAACAAAATAGAATTATTATCAGATGAACAAAAACTTCAGTTACTAAATCAGCTGATACCTCCAGATGGACTCCAGCAACTTGGTAAGTGGAAATCCAGTAATGTAAGGAGCTAATGATTGATTGACAGTTTTTTAAAAGAATAATAATTTCATTTATTGATATTATTTATTAAATGTGTATACTGTCCTTCATCTATAGTTCTCAGGGCAGTTCACAGCATAAAAATACAATATAAAGAACACAAAACACATAAGAATAAAAACTAATCAATAATACCCTCTCCTACAACACATTTAAAAGGGTATCAGATGTTAATCAGCCAAAGGCCTGGTTGTATTTTTATTTTTATTTTATTTTATCACTGTGCTGGATTCACACTTATTTTAATCACCTTAAGATTGTCATTATTTTGTGGGAGGGGTGTAATTGTATACTGGATGTTTAGGTTTGCACAGTTAAGCAGATTAAAGCTCTCTGTCACAGCAGTGCAACAAATCCACTTTCAAACAAGGTTTTTTTAAAAAAAACAGTTAATAACAACAATTATTATTTTATTACTTATTATTTATTGAATTTATAAATTTGTTGAATTTAACAACAACAACAAATTAATTTCTATACTGCTCTTCATCCAAAGATCATAGGGCAGGTTATAATAGAAAAAACACAAAAAAAATATATACCATAATGGCAAACAGAAACAATAACCCCCGCCCCCTGTTTAAAAGACCATAGATTAATTAGTCAAAGGCCAGTTGATGGAGAAAACTTTTCACCTGGCACCTAAAGTTATATAACAAATGCACCAGGTGAACCTCCCTGGGGAGAGCATTTCACAAGCAGAGTCACTCCAGAAAAGGCTCGTTCTCGAGTTGCTGTGCTCCGGACCTCTTGTGGAGGAGGCACACATAGAAGGGCCTCAGATGATGATTGCAGAGTCTGGGTCAATTCATTGGGGAGAGGCAGTCTTTGAAGTATAGGTTTTGACCTATAAAGCCTTAAATGGCTCAGGAGCACAATACCTCAAGGACTGTCTCTTCGCATATGAACTGACCTGGATCCTGCAATCATCATGTGAGAAAATGGTACTTTCGTGAGGGTGGGCTACCTACAGTAGGCACTCCTTGGTTCCCCCACTTGTGGCCAGACTTGCAACTGGCCATACTTATAATTGTGTGTGGAAGGCTTTCAAAGAATACATTGATATATAAACAGCTTTCTCTTTCCATTTTCTTTTAAATAACTGTGTGTAAAATGAATGCTACTCCAGGGGGTAATTTTACCTTCAGAAGCTATTTTTCAGCAGGGAGAATAAGCTGCAAAGGGAAAGGTGGGGAACTGGAAAAGACCAGATAATGCACATAGGACGCCACATGCAGTACTTTGGGTGCTAACAAATACAAACAATACTAAAATACAAGTCTTGCCAACCTGACATCCTAGGCTACATACCACATGTCAGCCATGTTTGCTAAATCCCCCATTTTTGAAAATTACAGTGGTTCCATTTCCCCCTCCTCCAAGGATGTGATAAACCAGAATATATAAATTGCATTCTGCGTATTGTTTGGGCAGGTTTGGTAAGTCCACTAAAATACAGTAATTGGAAGTGTGGGGAGAACATTTTTCCTATATTACACAAAACCTTTTACTACATGTAGGTAAACCAGAAGAAGAGCAAACAGAACAGACAAGGCAGCTACTGTCAAATGTAGTATCAACTCTCCAGCTTCTACAGCAAGCACATGTTCCTGAAGATGGCTTATCAGGTAGATTCTACAAGCTACATACAGCAAATAAATGTTTAGCTTAGGGCAGACTAATGGCTCAGTAGTGTCAAAGAATATAATGATAGAATGGTGACTCCAGAATTTGCATGCATAAAATGCTTAGTATTGTTATAGGATTGGAGGGTTAGATGATGCTTGTGGGTCCCAATCATGCCTTTGGTCTTGTAACTATAAGATTGTAATCTACAGTAGAAGGAACTGCTGAGCTGCCCAGTTTCTTTGTTAAGTTAGTGGCCCTAGCTGGGCCTGTAAACACCTTTTTTACATGTCTAAAGAGTTGGTCAAGAACACATGTATTGCTATAGAGACAAATGACTGGTGGTGCTTTCAGGAGAGGGTAAGGTTCCTCCCCACTCATCTGGCTGGTTGTCATGCTAGGGGTAGGAGAATAATAGGCCAAGATCTAGTCTTTATTTTAGTCTCATCTGAAGGTGGGAGCTTGAAATGCACAGCGGATTGACTTGTATGCTGGAACCAAATCTATGCCTTTGTGGGTCCCCCCTTCAGAAGCCTAATGGGAAAGCAATATCTGTTATAGCGTTAATGCTATTAGTCCAATCTTATTCTCAGATTGTATATATGTGGAAATAAAACCATATATCCTAGATACCACAGTTTCCAATAGCTTCATTCCAAAGAATTGGAACCCTGGATGTTGCTGGCACTTCTAGAGTCTCTCACCACTCAGCAACATGCATGAATATTCTCATTACTGTGGTTAAATAAGCTGTAAAACTTTATTTCTTCCACAGAGGAAGAAATGAATGAGATGACAGAGAAAAGAAGAGCTTTACTTGCAAATCTGGACACTAATCTTAAGGTTCTTCAACCAGCAGAAGCTGTTAGACCAGGGCAACAAGACATTGGTGAGTATCAAAGAATATTACCTTGATTATAAAACATATTCAAAAATCTCCTAAATGAAAATTATTACTATTGATATTAATTAATAACTTTTAATCCAGTTGGAAAAGCCTGTTGAAGACATAAAACTGCATGTTGGAAACAGTTTTGGTGCAAGACACTTTAAGCATGTGAACTTAAACTAATAATTGATCCTAAATATATAAATAAATAAAAAGCTAGGGTGTGTGCTCACAAAAAGCTTTATGCCACCTAGGATCATACACCACACCTCCCAAAGAGTGTCCTCTACAAGATGGCTTAAATTTGCAGCCAGACTAATCTTTTTTAAGGAATGTAAACAATGTTGAGTATTTTGGCTGGCCAATTCCTTATTTTGGGGTGCACTGGGTGGACTGGGTATCCTCAACATAAAGTTATATTTTATAGCAAACAAGTTAAGATATATCATAGATGGGATAACAGAACAAGGAGCATTAGAATGGTTAGAGAATGATACGCAGGAAATGAGGGAGAAGTTGGTGAATATATTTTTTATCAAACCAAACAGGCAATGGTGGCAGAATATTGAAAATCTCTTATTGAGAAACATTATTGAGATATGGGTGAAATATAAAGGTTGGATAGTTACCATGGAATGGTCTCGGGAGTGGGGTGCACATTTTTACTCTTATTTATTTATTTATTTATTCTTATTACTTTGTCAAATTTTTTTAAAAAAAGATATAAATGACTATCAAATGCTTGAAAAGCTTAAAAAAGGGGGAAACCAATTTGATCCCATAGAACTTGAGATATTACAATGTCAATTGACTTAATTTTCAGCCAGTTCTAGTTCCAGTTAGTGATAATTAATACTATTGTTACTATTTTTAAATTTTTAATTTTTGCATTCAGCCGTTCCTGGCAACTGCTGCCATTTTTGTTTTATGCTAATCTGATTGTTGAATCTTCTTTTTACTGTTCTAGTGGGAAAGCGTTAAATTTCCTTCCTTGCATAATGCAGTCCACACACACACACACACACACACACACACACGTGTTACTTAAGTTATAAAAAATAGACATAGTGGGTGGTAACCAGGGCTTTACGGGCATGGGTGGCGCTGTGGTCTTAAACCACTGAGCCTAGGGCTTGCCGATCAGAAGGTTGGTGGTTCAAATCCCCGCGACAGGGTGAGCTCCCATTGTTCAGTCCCTGCTCCTGCCAACCTTGCAGTTCGAAAGCACTTCAAAGTGCAAGTAGATAAATAGGTACTGCTCTGGCGGAAGGTAAACGGCGTTTCCGTGCACTGCTCTGGTTTGCCAGAAGCATCTTTGTCATGCTGGCCACATGTCCTGGAAGCTGTACGCCGGCTCCCTCGGCCAGTAAAGTGAGAGGAGCACCACAACCCCAGAGTCGTCCGCGACTGGACCTAATGGTCAGGGGTCCCTTTACCTTTACCTTTAACCAGGGCTTTATTTTGAGGGCAGCACCTGACTAGCCTCAGCAAAGCCCTGCTGTGCCTCTGCTTGGCAAGAGACCCTCCCTGGAGTTTGAAGTGGACATCCTTTACGGGAGAGGGTAAATCCTCCCTCAACCTCCGGAGAGGGTCCTTGATTTTTTATATTAGGCAACTATAACAAAATTGGACCCAGTTGCTATCTACTGGTGAAGATGAAATTAGATAAGATTAACATGCTGCAAATGCGGAGGAGGAGGAGGAGGAGGAGGAGGAGAAGAAGAAGAAGAAGAAGAGAAGAAGAGGAGGAGGAGGAGGAGGAGGAGGAGGAGTTTGGACTTGATATCCCGCCTTTCACTCCCCTTAAGGAGTCTCAAAGCGGCTAACAATCTCCTTTCCCTTCCTCCCCCACAACAAACACTGTGACTTCTTTGGTGACTTCTGTTTCAGTGTATATGAAGAAGTGTGCATGCACACGAAAGCTTATACCAAGAACAAACTTACCGGTAGTTGGTCTCTAAGGTGCTACTGGAGAATTTTATATATATATATATAAAATATAGAGAGAGAGACTGTGAGGTGAGTGAGGTTGAGAGACTTCAGAGAAGTGTGACTAGCCCAAGGTCACCCAGCAGCTGCATGTGGAGGAGCAGGGAAGCGAACCCGGTTCACCAGATTACGAGTCCACCGCTCTTAACCACTACACCACACTGGCTCTGTATATACTATAATGTGTATAGTAATTTGATACACTTCAGTATAGATGAAATTCAGTGAATATGCATTACATGACTCAAAACATAGTGGCATACTTGTAGTAGCGGTTTCTGGGATGGTGAAGGCAGGGCGACACTGCACACCAGTCTTCAAAATGGCTAGTGTCACTGCTGCTTACCAAGAGGGCAAGGGGCAAGGCGCAAGAGCCTCGGATGCTCCTGCTGCCCCTGTGTGCCCATGCTGCATTAAGTTCCCTGGGCCTCAGTCCTCCCCCTCCCTTTTGGTAAGCAGCAGCAACATTTGCTGTTTTGAAGCTAGGTGCACAAAGCTGCCATGACCCACTGATTGCTACTGATAGGGCAGGGAAATACCCCTATTTGAGATCCTGAAGAGTCACTACTAGTCGCAGTTGGCAATACTGGATGGGCCAATGTTCTAATATCAGGGAATTTCATGGTCATGTGTTGCTTTTAGACAATGAAATTAACATGCTGACAGAAAAAGGAAGCCATTTGCGTGCAAGCTTGGAATCAAATATGAGAGATTTGGAAGAAGCTCAAGCTCTCGCAGCTACCCAGCCATCAGAAATGAGTGGTAAGTACTGTCAGGTAATTTATGTTTTCTTTACATGTAACACCCTGTAATTTTTGCCCCAGTCTTCTTTTGCCTTCTTTTGCCTTGTCCCATTCTGAACTTTGCCAACCTGGACTAGGTTTCTAAGGGCCTGGTGTAATGTGTGTGGGAACCACTAGAATGACAATTACTCATGGTGGGTGACTTGTTGTTGCTGCTATTGTCATTAGGAATTAAAGGGCTCTGCCCTTAAGGATATTGTATAATCAAAGACAAGACATTAGGAAGGAAAGTAAAAGAGAGGAGGGTCAATTGGCAGAGGGAAAGGTATTTAGCGGATCCAAAAACTGGTGGGTGGTCCATCCTTGTTGCTGGGCAGAGACCAGCTAATAATTAGAACTCATTTTAGCAGTTTGTGAGTGCTTTCCTAAGCAAATAATTATGGCGAGGAAAGTGATGATGGGGGAAGGAAATTCATGTGTGTTTTAGAAACCGGGTGAATTTAATAAAGAGAGTTATATCAATTGGTCAATGAGAGAAATCATAAACACATCCATTTGTATGTGTGACCAAATGATTAGATATACAGTGGTACCTCGGGTTACAGACACTTAAGATTATAGATGCTTCAGGTTACAGACTCCACTAACCCAGAAATAGTATCTCGGGTTAAGAACTTTGCTTCAGGATGAGAACAGAAATCGCATGGCGGCAGCGCGGCAGCAGCGGGAGGCCCCATTAAAGTGGTACCTCAGGTTAAGAACAGTTTCAGGTTAAGAATGGACCTCCAGAACGAATTAAGTTCTTAACCAGAGGTAACACTGTATAAGCATCATTTAGCAAGAGATCCAAAGACCAATTAAAAGTGGCAGTTTAGGCCTCAGAACTAAACCCCCCCCCCAAGTTTCTTCACCGTAGAACATGATTGTTTATAGAAAGGTTTCCTTGTATATAATTCAAGTTACCTTTTTGTGTAATACATTGTTACATGCCACTCCAATCTCTGCCAAATACCTGCATGAGATTCCAGGGGTACTAGGCACTCATCCAGGGTAGCGCGTCAGTTGGGAAATCAAGGTACAGCAGAGACTAGTGTATTTAAGAAATATGGTTTAAATGTTAAGGTAAAGGTACCTCTGACCATTAGGACCAGTCGCGGATGACTCTGGGGTTGCGCGCTAATTTCACTCTATAGGCTGAGGGAGCCGGCGTTTGTCTGCAGACAGCTTTTGGGTCGTGCGGCCAGCATGAGTAAGCTGCTTCTGGTGAACTAGAGCAGTGCACAGAAACGCCATTTACCTTCCCGCCAGAGCAGTACCTATTTATCTACTTGCACTTGACGTGCTTTTGAACTGCTAGGTGGGCAGGAGCTGGGACTGAACAACGGGAGCTCACCCCGTCGCGGGGATTCGAACTGCCGACCTTCCCTAGGCTCTGTGGTTTATTGTACACATATTTACACCCACCTGGGTCTACTTTGGAGAGAGTTCAGAGGATTACATCTCAAGAGGAGCTTGTTCCCCATGGCAATGCAGCGTTGGAGTCCAAGGTAGCCTGCATGCCATCTCTGTCCTTCTGCCCTAGCCTGCCAAGATGGTTCTGCCCCACATGGGCTCTGCCTGAAGTTCTGCCCACTTCCTTTCTTCTTTCCAAGAAGCCCTGCTCCTAGCAACTTCTCCCCACCTGTTTGTTGCTCCCCCTCCAGACCTCTGTTTTTTAAAGGACAACTTTCCCCCCCTATGTGATATCACTCTTGTTTCACCCTCCTTCCCTCACTGGCAGAGCCTGGTTGATGGTTTCCATTGATGACTTTCTTCCAGAACCTTTTGTCATTCTTAACAACTTCTGTCTCAGTTGAGGTGCTGACATCTTCCCTTCAGTACTCCAAATATTATCTAAATTCTACCATTTATTAATTTCTAACATTCACTAACTCTAGCAGTTATAGGTTCCCTTGCACATTCAAACTCTGTTACCCCAGATGTGTAACAACAATAAAAGGTGTTGCAAGCACAAAAATGTCTCTTTTTCTACAGAGAACAAAGTGAAGGAGTTACTACAACAAAGAGAACTGTTGACTGCAGATTTAGAGCAGAATATGCAGGACCTGCAAACTACAAAAGCTCTTGCAGCTGTCTTGGAAGAAAAAGCTAAGCCTGGTAAATGCAGAATAATTGGGATAGGTACAGAAAGATCACATAGGCATGTGACACAGGGCCTGTTGTTATAGGGGTAAAACTTATTTTTTTCAATTTTTTTCAGTGAGGGATCTTAAAAATATGTTTTGGGGTGTGAGGAATTTGAATCTGCTGTTTTTGTGACTGGATAGCTTTTAGCTTGGTAAGTCTTCATTTGATGAAGACACACATAAACTACTTTAGGAAAACCAAAGAATTTTAATTCTACCTTCTGAAATAATAATATAATGTAATAATAACTGCAAGTACTTGGCAATCATTTTTAATGATCTCTGTGCAGTTTTACACATATTTTACTTACTAGGTAAAGGTAAAGGTACCCCTGCCCGTATGGGCCAGTCTTGACAGACTCTAGGGTTGTGCGCCCATCTCACTTAAGAGGCCGGGGGCCAGCGCTGTCCGGACACACCTCCGGGTCACGTGGCCAGCGTGACAAAGCTGCATCTGGCGAGCCAGCGCAGCACACGGAAATGCCGTTTACCTTCCCGCCAGTAAGCGGTCCCTATTTATCTACTTGCACCCGGGGGTGCTTTCGAACTGCTAGGTTGGCAGGCGCTGGGACCGAGCAACGGGAGCGCACCCCGCCGCGGGGATTCGAACCGCCGACCTTTCGATCGGCAAGCCCTAGGCGCTGAGGCTTTTACCCACGGCGCCACCCGCGTCCCTATTTTAATTACTAAGCAAAGCTAAATTATATTAATTTAACCAAAATATATTTTGAATTCCCAAGTCACATTACAACTTATTAGCACATTTTTGAAACTTGAAAGTTTAAAAATTCAACATCCTCTAATGTGACAGAGTGTTTATACATACATCAGCAATACTTGTCATTAGTCATCTAGCAGTTAACCCTCTATGAAATGAGGTAAAGAAAAAGCACAGGTCTGGACATTTGTAGACATATAACAGAACAAGGGCTTTAAGATGTTTCAATGAAGTGATGGTGATTGTTTCAGTAGATACAACTTTTGAAATCTAAGGGGCTCCCTAAAACAAATTGCTAGTAAATAATAGCAGGTGGACATAGGCACGGGGTGAAATGGAGAACTATATGTGGCTGTGTATATGCCATACATTTAAAACACGTTCAAAGCATTTCCTACCCACTTTCCTACCCACTCGCAATCGTAGAAACTGCCAACACTACTTCCTTTTTAGTTTGTGGGGAGTCGTATCCAATGGAATGGGTGTTCCTTACATTTCAGATACTTAGCAATTAAGAGATTTTATTATAGAAATTTCCAGAGCCAAGGTATGGGGAAGTAGGCAGGTATTTTTTCTCTTTACTGACTCAGTTAGTACTTTCTGATTGGTGAATCCAGAAAACTGAGGGAGTCTGTCCTACTTCCCACAAATCTTTGCTCCCGTCTAGTTTCTCGCAACAGAGTGAACAGCCATTCCATTGGATACAACAGCCCACTCTCAAAACTACACTTTAGGTCAGACCAATTATTCTTTCTTTGGATTGTAGCTCTGTAAGGGGAAGACTTTAGTTCCTAGGATTCTTAGGGAGTGAGGGAAAGAACGTTTTGACTTTCTTCTTACATTTTTCACTTTGCAGAGAAGGGAATTGATGAACTCTCAAAAGAAAGAAAGGTTTTGCTTGCAAGTTTGAAATCAAATATGAAGGAGTTAGAAGAAGCAGAAACTCTTGCTGCTGCCCAACCAGGAAGTGTGAGTGGTAAGTACAATCTCCACATAAAACCCATTTTGAAGGTTGAAGCACATTCTAATATTTTAAACATTTGATGTGATTTCATCATTTTATTCTATTTTACAAAAATAAATAAATCATTGCTGCTTGCTTTATGAGCTTAGGACAAGCAAGTGGATATGCATATGACTGACTGATACTACATAGCTGTTTGTTGACACATTTACTTAAAGAAGATTATTAGCAAAAATGTACTATTTAGTTTGAAATATATATCTTACACTAAATGTACTAAGTGTTTGTGTATCCACAGATAAAAAGATAAAGGAGCTTAAAGAACAAAGAAAGGTACTAGCTGCACATCTAGAAGCAAATCAACAGGATCTGCAAATGGCGCAAGGTTCTGCTCCAGAACCTGCTGAAGCAAGCAAACTTCAGAGTAAGTGCATTCACTGTATGTATGCTCTGTTGTCATTAGATTGGTAACCGATGGAAATTCATGTTCTCCGCTATTAAACCCTCCCACAAACCCTACTTTCAAAATGCATAATAAGCAATTCAATCCAGGTAAATAACATGAGCAACGTATCTTTTTAAAAAAGATATACAATATTCCTTCAAATTTACTTGAGTCAGTCCAAATGGATTTATTGGCTTGAAGAAATCCTTCCCCATGATGAAGTCCATGATTTCAAGAGCTCTTTTTTCTTTTTTTAAGGAAACTCCCAAAAGAGGACACATTTTTCAACTTCAGCTTTGTTTGTTTGTTTGTTTGTTTGTTTGTTTTAATATTCATCTTTCTGGGGTTGGTTAGGCCAGTGTTTCCCAACCTTTTTTGGGCAAAGGCACACTTGTTTCATGAAAAAAATCTCGAGGCACACCACCATGCCCAGATGGGGAAAGGTCACTTTTTACTTATGTAAAAAAAATAAAAAATAGTAACAGCATAGAAGGTAATGGTTATCTCTTTGATGTCTGATGGGAGGGCATTCCACAGGGCGGGCGCCACTACCGAGAAGGCCCTCTGCCTGGTTCCCTGTAACCTCACTTTTCACAGTGAGGGGAATTGCCAGAAGGCCCTTGGCACTGGATCTCAGTGTCTGGGCCTGAACGATGGTGGCGGAGACGCTACTTCAGGTATACTGGACCGAAACCGCTTAGGGCTTTAAAGGTCAGCACCAACACTTTGAATTGTGCTCGGAAAGGTACTGGGAGCCAATGTAGGTCTTTCAAGACTGTCGTTACGTGGTCTCGGCGGCAGGTAGCAGCGCTCACAGCTTACGGACTGCACCGTGTAACAGGTGTCTGGCCCAGCAGCCTAAGGCGGACAAGCCACTGAAACAGGCATTCAGAATCCATTCATTTCATAAAACCTGCAGGGCTCAATCTCTGTGTTTGTGTATGTGTATGTGTGTGTTTCTGTTTTGCCCAAGGGTCTGGGGGTGGGAGAGAGCTCTTTAGCATGATGCTTTTAAAACAATTAAATTATCAACAAACAAACCTGATGATATGAATAGCAACGTCAGGTGCTACGGGGGGGGGGGGGAGAAGGGGGCCTACTCAGAAGTAAATACTGCGTCCAGGCGCAATTAGCGCTGATTTAAGGTGCACCAAGACTGCCTAAAAACCTCACCAAAGATATGCAACAAAGCACTTCGTTGCAGAGGGGAGAGTTTGTGCACCGTGGAGGCTGGAGGGTTTCTATTCTACATGCGGGGGTTGGGGGGGCGAGGAAAATGTGCTCCGTGCTGGGGCGGGGAAGGCAAAGTTGCAAAAGCGCCCTGCTCCTTCTTCCACGGAGTGAAACGCTCCTGCGGAGGCGAGAGGCAGCGAGGAGGCGACGAGGTGAGGCTTTTGTGAGGTAGGGAGAGGAAAGACGGGGGAGGGAACCCAAGGAGGATTTGCACGAGAGGGAATGAAGGGGAAACGCGCCTCCCACGTGGAGCACTTTTCCCCGGGAAATGCACGGGGTGGGGTCGTGGCTGATCCGTGCTGCGCGCTCGCGTCGTGCGGCCCAAAGTGCTGCAGGATCGCCAATGCAAGACCCCCTTTTAAAACCTCCCCCTCCCCAGCTCTGGAAAAAAGGGGGAAGGGATGGCGTCGGCGTGCGGAGGCTGCCCGTGCCCGGCCAGGCGTCGGTGGCGGTGTCAGCGCTGCTGCAGTGGCTGCTCCTCCTGCGAGCAGTGAGTGGAGCGCAGCCGCAGCGGCGGCGGGGGGCGCGCACGCGCTAGGGCGCAAGGCTGGCGGTGGCGGCGGGGAGCCCGGCGGAGGAAGGAACTTGTCCCTTCCCTCTGGACTCGCGCCCCCCGCAGATGTTGCGCCCGGTGCGACTGGCACCCCTGGCACCCCCACGCTACGCCACTACTCCCACGGCACACTAGGCAACGTCCGGCGGCACACTAGTGTGCCGCGGAACACCGGTTGGGAAACACTGGGTTAGGCACCAGGCGGCAGGCATATTTCAGTTCTGCACAGCTGGGCTCTCCCAAAGGGAGAGATTTTTAGATTTAGATTTGCAGAGCTGGAATGTACCCTTAGGATCATCTAGTCCAATCCCCTGCAATGCAAGAATCTTTCCCCAACACATGGGACTCAAACATACAACCTGAGATTAAGAGTGTCATGCTGAGCTATCCTGAAAGAGAGAGACAGAGAGTGCTCAGAGGTGGTTATGGCTGCCGGCCCCCAGCTGACAGTGCTCTGTCCCATTGCACTGGGAGGCAACAGCCTTGCATTCTTCGTCTCCTTCCCTGGCAGCAGCTGCCCTCGCCCACCCATGCATGCCCAGACTGTCAGCTCTGAACCTCCAGACATCTTTTAAAATTCAAAAATTCTCCTCAAATGCCATTTTAGGCACCCAATTTCCAAATATGTCCAGAATTTTCCGGACGTATGGCAAGCCCAAACTTGCTGAATGAGGGTGGGTGGTGTTGGTATCTTCTCCATACTATTAGTCACCATCTGGAACCTAACTGCTTTTCCTTGGGTTTAGAGTGCCTAGAAGCGCAACCTTTTAACTGATCAGAGTTCTTGTTCTGGTTTTGCAGATGTTGCTTTGGAAAGGAGGGTGTTTTTGCGTGTGAAAGAGAGGGAAGGGCAAAACTGAATCAACTTAGCATTATAAACTCCAGAAGACTTGCCCCCTCCCCCCAGACTGGTCTTTTGCTGCAATTAAGAACATAAGAAGAGGCTACTGGATCAGGCCAATGGCCCATCTAGTCCAGCATCCTTATCTCACATAAGATGACTCTGGGAGACCAGCAAATAGGATTTGAGAACAAGGGCACTTTCCCTTCCTATGGTTTCCTGTTGTATTCTGCTGTTCCAGTTGTACTTAGCAACATGCTCTTGGCATGATACTAGTGTATCAATGGTGTATTTATTTTGCTTTATATGTTTTCTTGCAATGCTTGCCCAATGCTACCGCATTCTTGCTGTCTGGATGGGCAAGAGTGCAACAGAAGCAGGAATCTGCCCCTCCCACCTACCCCAAGAATGTTTATGATATGAAAAGTTAAACAATCTCAGCAGGAAGTTATAGAATATGCACTGACTGGAAAAGAAGCAGCAGGACCACCCCAACATTTTTGCAGGTGTAAACAGTATTTAAGGCAATGCATATAATACCCCCAATAACACTGTGGACACAAATCATGATGAATTCTCTGCAAAAAAGATGGCTGGAGGGGCCCTTAGTATTGAGCAGACCATTATGGGATTGTAGCGTACGCTATTTACCAAACGTGTACTCTTGCTGAATCCCCAGGAGCAAGGCACCAACCCACAGACTAGACAAGATTTGAAAGAGATAAAAGTTGCATAAAGCACTTTGTAAACAAAAGAGAAAGAAATGATAAACAGCAACGATAGTGATTGTATCATTCCTGTAGCCCAGTGGTGGGCCAACCCTTTTGAAGAACCGTAAGCACATTTGCAAACCAGAGCAATGTGTTGTGGGCACCACATGTCAGATGAGCATTGATATAATGCTGGGCAGAATTTTGACATGGCTTCAGCAAGAAGCAAACTGAGCCTGAGCCTTGTATAGTGACAGCAGCTGCCGCCTCCTAACTCATCCCCACTAACATCATAAGGTCCTGCTTTGCAGCAGTTCCCCACTGTGACAGAGCAGGGGAGCCTCTAGTTTCACTGGGTCTCCTGCTCTGGAATTTTGCAAGGATTACAACATACTTCATGCTCCCTTTAATGTGCCATGAGGACAAAAACTCTGATTATCATCAATCAGCATTTGCTGATACAGCTCCTTGCCAAGAGTGCAAGGGACCCTAAATATGCTTCTGTCTGCACACTTATCTGCTTCCTGTATTATTTTTATCTCCATGAGAACATTCTCACTTAGTTCTCACATGTTTCACTTTGCAGAGAAGGAAATAGATGTCAGGAATAGAAGGAAATAGAGCCAAGGTATGGGGAAGTAGGCAGGTATTTTTTCTCTTTACTGACTCAGTTAGTACTTTCTGATTGGCGAATCCAGAAAACTGAGGGAGTCTGTCCTACTTCCCACAAATCTTTGCTCCCGTCTAGTTTCTCGCAACAGAGTGAACAGCCATTCCATTGGATACGACAGCCCACTCTCAAAACTACACTTTAGGTCAGACCAATTATTCTTTCTTTGTATTGTAGCTCCGTAAGGGGAAGACTTTAGTTCCTAGGATTCTTAGGGAGTGAGGGAAGGAACGTTTTGACTTTCTTCTTACATTTTTCACTTTGCAGAGAAGGGAATTGATGAACTCTCAAAAGAAAGAAAGGTTTTGCTTGCAAGTTTGAAATCAAATATGAAGGAGTTAGAAGAAGCAGAAACTCTTGCTGCTGCCCAACCAGGAAGTGTGAGTGGTAAGTACAATCTCCACATAAAACCCATTTTGAAGGTTGAAGCACATTCTAATATTTTAAACATTTGATGTGATTTCATCATTTTATTCTATTTTACAAAAATAAATAAATCATTGCTGCTTGCTTTATGAGCTTAGGACAAGCAAGTGGATATGCATATGACTGACTGATACTACATAGCTGTTTGTTGACACATTTACTTAAAGAAGATTATTAGCAAAAATGTACTATTTAGTTTGAAATATATATCTTACATTAAATGTACTAAGTGTTTGTGTATCCACAGATAAAAAGATAAAGGAGCTTAAAGAACAAAGAAAGGTACTAGCTGCGCATCTAGAAGCAAATCAACAGGATCTGCAAATGGCGCAAGCTTCTGCTCCAGAACCTGCTGAAGCAAGCAAACTTCAGAGTAAGTGCATTCACTGTATCTATGCTCTGTTGTCATTAGATTGGTAACCGATGGAAATTCATGTTATCCGCTATTAAACCCTCCCACAAACCCTACTTTCAAAATGCATAATAAGCAATTCAGTCCTGGTAAATAACATGAGCAACGTATCTTTTAAAAAAAGATATACAATATTCCTTCAAATTTACTTGAGTCAGTCCAAATGGATTTATTGGCTTGAAGAAATCCTTCCCCATGATGAAGTCCATGATTTCAAGAGATCTTTTTCTTTTATTAAGGAAACTCCTGAAAGAGGACACATTTTTCAACTTCAGCTTTATTTGTTTGTTTGTTTGTTTGTTTGTTTAATCTTCCTCTTTTTGGGGTTGGCTAGGCACCAGGCGGCAGGCATATTTCAGTTCTGCACAGCTGGGCTCTCCCAAAGGGAGAGATTTTAGATTTAGATTTGCAGAGCTGGAATGTACCCTTAGGATCATCTAGTCCAATCCCCTGCAATGCAAGAATCTTTCCCCAACACATGGGACTCAAACCTACAACCCTGAGATTAAGAGTGTCATGCTGAGCTATCCTGAAAGAAAGAGACAGAGAGCGCTCAGAGGTGGCTGTGGCTGCCAGCCCTCAGCCGACAGAGTGCTCTGTCCCATTGCACTGGGAGGCAACAGCCTTGCATTCTTCGTCTCCTTCCCTGGCAGCAGCTGCCCTCGCCCACCCACGCATGCCCAGACTGTCAGCTCTGAACCTCCAGACATCTTTTAAAATTCAAAAATTCTCCTCAGATGCCATTTTAGGTATCCAATTTCCGAATATGTCCAGAATTTTCCAGACGTATGGCAAGCCCAAACTTGCTGAATGAGGGTGGGTGGTGTTGGTATCTTCTCCATACTATTAGTCACCATCTGGAACCTAACTGCTTTTCCTTGGGTTTAGAGTGCCTAGAAGCGCAGCCAGGTGTTGTTTTTGACTTTGCTTAAACTTTTAACTGATCAGAGTTCTTGTTCTGGTTTTGCAGATGTGGCTTTGGAAAGGAGGGTGTTTTTGTGTGTGAAAGAGAGGGAAGGGCAAAACTGAATCAACTTAGCCATTATAAACTCCAGAAGACTTGCCCCCTCCCCCCAGACTGGTCTTTTGCTGCAATTAAGAACATAAGAAGAGGCTACTGGATCAGGCCAATGGCCCATCTAGTCCAGCATCCTTATCTCACAGTGGCCAACCAGATGACTCTGGGAGACCAGCAAATAGGATTTGAGAACAAGGGCACTTTCCCTTCCTATGGTTCCTGTTGTATTCTGCTGTTCCAGTTGTACTTAGCAACATGCTCTTGGCATGATCAGTGTATCAATGGTGTATTTATTTTGCTTTATATGTTTTCTTGCAATGCTTGCCCAATGCTACCGCATTCTTGCTGTCCGGATGGGCAAGAGTGCAACAGAAGCAGGAATCTGCCCCTCCCACCTACCCCAAGAATGTTTATGATATGAAAAGTTAAACAATCTCAGCAGGAAGTTATAGAATATGCACTGACTGGAAAAGAAGCAGCAGGACCACCCCAACATTTTTGCAGGTGTAAACAGTATTTAAGGCAATGCATATAATACCCCCAATAACACTGTGGACACAAATCATGATGAATTCTCTGCAAAAAAGATGGCTGGAGGGGCCCTTAGTATTGAGCAGACCATTATGGGATTGTAGCGTACGCTATTTACCAAACGTGTACTCTTGCTGAATCCCCAGGAGCAAGGCACCAACCCACAGACTAGACAAGATTTGAAAGAGATAAAAGTTGCATAAAGCACTTTGTAAACAAAAGAGAAAGAAATGATAAACAGCAACGATAGTGATTGTATCATTCCTGTAGCCCAGTGGTGGCCAACCCTTTTGAAGAACCGTAAGCACATTTGCAAACCAGAGCAATGTGTTGTGGGCACCACATGTCAGATGAGCATTGATATAATGCTGGGCAGAATTTTGACATGGCTTCAGCAAGAAGCAAACTGAGCCTGAGCCTTGTATAGTGACAGCAGCTGCTGCCTCCTAACTCATCCCCACTAACATCATAAGGTCCTTTGCAGCAGTTCCCCACTGTGACAGAGCAGGGGAGCCTCTAGTTTCTCTGGGTCTCCTGCTCTGGAATTTTGCAAGGATGACAACATACTTCATGCTCCTTTTAATGTGCCATGAGGACAAAACTCTGATTATCATCAATCAGCATTTGCTGATACAGCTCCTTGCCAAGAGTGCAAGGGACCCTCAATATGCTTCTGTCTGCACACTTATCTGCTTCCTGTATTATTTTATCTCCATGAGAACATTCTCACTTAGTTCTCACATGTTTCACTTTGCAGAGAAGGAAATAGATGAGCTCTCAAAAGAAAGAAAAGTTTTGCTTGCAAGTTTGAAATCAAATATGAAGGAGTTAGAAGAAGCTGAAACTCTTGCCACTACCCAACCAGGAAGTGTGAGTGGTAAGTACAATCTCAACCCCAAACCATTTGCAAAGTTATGCTATATTCTAATGTCAAACTAAAACATGGAAACCTTAGATTTTTCTTTACTAGGTTCACGTAGGCTTGTATCACTTTAAAACAAAAATAAAATGTGGCAAAAATAGATTTCTGTATCTTTTAAAACACACAAAAAGAAAGCATTTAAACTACTTTTGGCACACTTCTTGATTATTTTGTAGGGAAGATCAAGCCACTTTGCACACAAATAGTCTAATGTTAATTCGAGTTCAAATAATATTAGCTAAAATGTGAAGTACTATTTAAGGAAACTTACAAATATTAAGCTGGTTGCTATAGAATTACACTGTAATATAAACTATGGTTATATGATCAAGCTTCCTTGATCACACTGATGGATCATAATCCGAGGAGGTTGTAGACAGTGGTTTTGAGAGATTACCGATCTACTGTATTCCATGTGAGCTGTCCTTTACTGGGGTGCTGATGAGTTCTTTCTTACTTCCCATGCAAGTGTTGATGTTAACACTGAACACTGTTAGTGACCTGTGATCAGGATATCCAAAGGGGCATGTCTTCCAGTGTAATTTCCTTCATGCATTAAAATCTTGGTAAGGTGTGTGTTTGTTCACCCTGGGACATCTAGATTGTGGGGCCAAGGTCTAGAATTTTCTCAGCTGTGACAGCTGCTTTTTGGAATTTTCCTTAATTTAGGATTACTCTTCCAATTTTTAAATATAAACTTTCCACATAACCTTTCTCCAGGGAACACCAGGACACCACCAGCTGCAATATCATTTTGCTCAACTCGCTTGAAGGCAGGGAAAAAAATCACCACTGTCAGATGCTTCTCCACTGTCCCACTCTTGAGTGACAGTTCATTTTTCTGCCCTTACTTAAAGCAGGCAAAGTTTATTGTTGGATGCTCATCTGACCTTTAACTGCTTTTTTTCTGTTGTCACTACTTCTTTCTTACGAGTGATTTGCTCACTTGTTTTGAGAAGTTTTACTGCACCAGGTTGGTTTGGTGCAGTTTCCCCAAACTATTTCCCCCTGTAACGTGCTTAATTACTTCCTCTACAGTGCTTTGAGTGCTTAATTAATTCTTCTGCAGAGAGTACAATTGATTCTTTCCCTAGTGATTTTTCTCCTTTTTTGTCTTTAGTTGATTCACTTCCCCCAAAGCTGTTTTTAACACCACACTAAATTGATTGCGTTCACCAAGAAGTTCTCATTAACTACTTGTTCTAACTTTATTCTAATTGATTCTAACGCTAGTAAATTAATTTCACCCTTTTAAAGTTGGTTTTTCTATAACCTACTGCTATCAATTCATTAAAAAGCTGTTCAGCTGCTGTTCTGTTCTGATACACTAAAAGAAACTATCACTCAAGCCAAAACATTAACAAACAGAAGAGAATAAACAAATAGAACAGAATTGGCTCTATTAGGGTTGCCATATTTAAGTTGAGCTTTAAAAATTGACGTTTTTGAGCTATTTTTATGGAAAATCAGAGAAAATAGCCTTTTGGGTTTTATTGGACATTTTGACGATTTCCACCCGAACACTGCAGTCAGCAAGTATTCCGGATAGGCCCGAGAAATTCCACTCTACGAATTGCTTACCAGAAGACATGGAAATGCTAGCATAGGGGAGGCCTTGGTGCCCCTTTAAGAGGAGTACCCAAGGTACCTTTCAGGAAGCTTCAGCTGAAGTCCATATAAAACCAAGGCTCAGATAACGATCCACATATTGTCAACAAACTTTCTTTTTGGGTGGTTTGGTTAGGCCTGCTGCTGGTGTCAAACAAGTCTTTTCCAGCAACTCTGTTCAAACAGTGATTCTGGATCACAACTAGGATTGTCTTTGGTATCACTTGGTGCTCTTTCTCTCGATTTGAAAATGTATCTATGCATATTCTGCAAATAAAAAAACCACATTTAGATACTATGCTATGCTATGCTATGCTATGCTACTCTACACTAAGATGTTTAAATGTTCATTTGATTATCCTTGACTCTTTCTGCCACTCTTGTCATCCTCTCCTGCCACACCAGTGTGGCTTGTCACAGCCCATTACCATATGGATATTGTTAACTATGTCCTTTGCTTTAAACATTTATTATGGTTTTTGTGTTTTCATAAGTTTGTTTTGTAATTGTATAGCATTGCAATTTGCTTCATAAACCTGTGATAATCAAGTGGGATATACATATGAATGATTGATATTACATAGCTGTTCATTGGTACATTTGCTAAAAGCAGATTATTATCTAAAAGCAGAAAATACTATTTAGTTTCAAATATATATAGTCCAATAAATGTACAATAAATGTACAAAGTGTTTGTGTTTCCACAGATAAAAAGATAAAAGAGCTTAAAGAACAAAGAAAGGTGCTGGCTGCTCATCTAGAAGCAAACCTGCAGGATCTGCAAATGGCGCAACCTTCTGCTTCAAGCATTGTTGGAAAAAGTAAACTTCAGGGTAATTGCATCCACTGTATACTCTTTTGTCATTAGATTGGTAACTAAGGAAAATTAATGTTCTTCATTATTAAGCACTCACACAAACCTAACTTTCAAAATGCATAGTAAGCAAATCCATCCAGTTAAATAACTACACATAAGCAATGGATAATATATTCAAGAAGTAGGAAAAAGTGAGTGATGTATTATTGAGTGATAATTAAGGTTGTATTTTTGCTGGCTGGAATTAAGAGTCTGGGTTGTCATGTTTGAAAGTCAATGAGCTGCAATTCTCTGGAGAGGAAGCAAAATCCTTGAGAGGACTTTTCCTGAATCCATGAATAGGTGGCATCATCCCTCTGAATAGGCCTGATTTGGCCGAGGACTCCATCAAATCCATTGCACAACTCTTTCCATGTTACACAGAAGTAGAGAGAACTGATTTCAACAGAACTTACTTTGAAAAGTAATCAAAACTGTTTCAAATTTTAAATACAACTTTGGAATAGTCATTTATAATAATTCTGAGGCATTTCCTTGTAGAAATGAAACATTCTGCATTATCTGAGAAGAAAAAACTTTTGCAAGAAAAACTAGATTCAAATCTAAAAGATCTACAAGAAGCAGAAACGCTTGCATCTCTCCAGTCAGACAGTGCGAATGGTAAAAAAGGCACAAAACTTCAAATGTTTTTTTACCTAGAAATAATAAATGACAGATTTATGCCTAATTAAGATTTCATAAACAAATATGTTCATTGAGGAAGGAGGGATAGTGATTTTATTTATTTATATTACTAGTGGTAGCTTGCTAATCAGAAATATTTTTGAATTTTGAATTTGAACAGAGTCATAATTACACTTTTAGGCTTATACTTTACAAGCTTATACCCTAGTGTGTCTCATCTTTTTCACAGCAGCCAATCTGCACCTATTATCTGAGGGAGTGGAGACTTGGGCTAGATCTACACTGATCTGTTTAACATTGTTAGAATGATGTTAGATATGTCATTTTAAAACGTCACAAGGCATACTTATTAACTAAAGTATTTTTTACCTTGGGTTTTTTTTCATCAAAACTGCTGCTGGTTGCTCTGCTGCGTCCTCTGGTGTCACATTTTAATAACGCATTATGAATCTTAAAAGTAGGATGTCATGTGTCCATATATGTTATTGAAACCATTCCTTAATCCTTCCTTAATGTTAAAAACCATGAGTGTAGATCTGCCCTTGTTCCTCTTTCCGTGGGTCTTTTAAGCTAGGGTCTTATACTTTAGGAAGTGGGGAAACTGCTAAGCACTGCAGATTCTGCTGGTCAAAATGTATATTTTACCAACAACTTAAATTGGTTTTCCTGTAATGTACTTTTAAAAAATGTTTCCTTTTAACTCATGTCTTTGCCCGTGAGTCTTCGGTTTTTAGGGCCATACCCACAGAACAGCAATGGCAGCTTTTCTAGTGTGTATTTTCCTCTGGTTATACTGCACAGCTAGTAGTTCATTTAAGGAACCATTTTGAAATGTGCTCCTTGTAACCATTTTAATCATCATCATCATCTTATTAGTTATTAGTAAAACTAGTCCTAAGGCGCTTGCTCTTTCCTGTTGTAGCTTTTCCTACTTTTCACTCAAAATTAGAGAAGTGGAATGTTATTTGCTTTATGAGAGAAGGCTTTCCCCCTTTAGTAGAATCTCCCCCTGGCATCGGAAAAATGGGGATGACCATACAGTGATAAACCCTATAGGGTTGTTGAGGTCATATATATAGTTATTTTAGCTTTCAACAAGTGCTTTTACTATTAACCATTTCCTATGGATATTGTGTATCCATTGCAAATTTGTACTGAATGTAGTTATTTCAAATATATTGGTTCTTTTATGAAGTGGCCTGAAATAATTTTGTAGAGCAAAGACTTCAGGAACTTTCTGAGCTAAGACAACATTTGACTGAAGAGCTAAAGGATCTAGAGGAAAGTATGCAAGATATGCATGAAATGGAGCTTCAGGCTTTACAAAGAGCTTTATTTCTAATACCCAGTGGTGAGTAATGAATAAATAACCTTGAGGTGTTTTTATTTTTATGTTTAATGACACATAATGTGCATACAGTGGTACCTCGGGTTACATATGCTTCAGGTTACAGACTCCGCTAACCCAGAAATAGTACCTCAGGTTAAGAACTTTGCTTCAGGATGAGAACAGAAATCGTGCTCCGGTGGCGCGGCGGCAGCAGGAGGCCCCATTAGCTAAAGTGGTGCTTCAGGTTAAGAACAGTTTCAGGTTAAGAACGGACCTCTGGAACAAATTAAGTACTTAACCCGAGGTACCACTATATTTGTCAGTGTTACAAATGCAATGACAGAGATCTTCTATAGTTTAGTCATAGCCCAGAAATGTGGACCAGGGTGTCTTCGCTCCCTATCTCTGCTGTGCCACCATCTACTACATGTATTGAATCTAGGATTGATACATCTGTGGGGCCTATTGGCTTAAAGAAGGCATCCAGGCACTTGTGCACCCAAACACTGCACCACAGAGTTGAAGAAGTAGGCATGCCTTGGTGCTCCTCAACCCTATTCTATTTCATTTCTTTGTCCTAGCTCTTGCTTGACCCCCTTCATAAGTTTTTTGCACTTTCTTTCTTCTCCCCTTCTCTGCTAAGGTCCCTTTCATCTCTGTGTTGCCTTATTCCTCTGTGTAAAAATGAAAGAAAAAAGGAAGGTCCTTTTATTCCTCCAATTCTCCTCCTACCACTAGTTGCCTGTTGCCACCTGTTGCCCCCCCCCCGTTCATCCTTAGGATTTCCTCTCTTAGGTATGTGAGTTCTTCCCTCACAACCACCTGCCCTTGTCTTCTACTGCCTTCAAACCTGTCAGATGATCTGGATCCCTGTGATCCTTTATTGAACCCTAAATTCTTAGATGGGAGGGGGAGTGGTGATTCAGATATAGAGGAAAGCTCATTGCACCATCTCTTTGAGCCTGTCAACTTCTTGCCTCTGAGGCTTCATAAGACCCTAGATGTCAGGATTTTCTTAGTCTTCAACAGATGTAGCTCTTGCTCCTGACAGCACTACTTCCTACTTCCACCCATGGCCTTCTGTGATGCCTTAGTTCTTTCCTGAGTACCTGTGCTCTGGCTGGTTAAACTTTTAGATAACCCTCACCAAGATCCAGAGAGGCTTAGGAAAACCCTGTTGAAATTGCATAGAGCAGTTGCTTTTGTGTCTGATGTCACCTTCAGTGTTACCCAGTTTGCCACTCTTTCAATGGCTGTGGTGGGTGGTAAGCACATAGACATCTGTGGCTCTGACACTGGGGCACTGACAGGGTCCGTTTGGTCATTGCTGCATATGTGGGTACAATGCCTTTCGTCAAGAAGGCATTGAAGAAGATTCTGTAAACCAGTCTAGCCACCATGAAATAGCAGGACAGATCGCCCATATTCCCCTTCTCAGCCTTTCCAACCCTTTTGAGTAGGCCAGCCCTTCAGGAAGGACCACAACTTCAACATTTTCCAGCACTCCTTGACCCAATCATTCTTTCAGAGGCTAAGTCAGCTGCCTCTTCCTCTTTAGTTCAGGCAGCACGCCACCAACACCAACAACATAAAGAGGAGCATCAATGCTCTGAAAGACCACATGCTCATAGTCAACAAAGAAAAAACCCAGCTTGTAGCTTTTCAGGGCTTGCAGCACTTGGGCACAATGCTTTGTCTCCTACTCCTCTTTATGTTGCTTGACTTGTCTTGAATCAATCCATGGTCTCATCATGAAATGAATTGAGACTGAGGAGCACTAAGCCATGTCTACTTCCTTCAACCTTGGAGTGCATGGAACAATGAGATGGCCTGTCATCCTGGATAAATGCTCTTCAGGTAAGGACCAGTGTTCTTTACCTCCCAAGAAAAAATATGTCTGAGCATCTAATATCAGCATAGCAGCAAAAGATAAACTCCACACAGGGAGACCACAGATGACAGAGTACAGTGCACAGGGTGATCTCTTTCTGGCTTCATGTTAGGAACACTTAGAGCTCAAAGGAGGAACTTAGAGTTGAGAAACAGAAAAAATGGGATTTTACACAGCAAACGAACTCTTTGCCATGTCTTAAGATCTGCATTGACAGATAACATTATATATTTTAAATGGCATCAGTAAGTTTGTGGGTGACTGAAAACTGAGTTTTTTTAAATTGGGGACGACCGGGGGGTGTGCTAAAAGGAAGTCCGCACCCCCCCCTTGCAGACCATCTAAGCAACGACACAAGAGATAAGCTGGAGAGCCTACCCTTGGTGGGGTGAGTTAAAAAGGACACTAACTTTCAAGATTTTACTAAAGGAAAATTTTGTGCAGGAGAGTGGAGTTTTGGAAACCTTCCTTCTGTTTTAAACAACCCCCCCTCCCGGGCTCGGGAACGTCCTGCCTTCGTGCCTGCGTTAGAGCTGCGGAGTTTGACAGCTGTCAAAGCTGCCAAACGGGCGGTTTAAAGTGAGAAATTGCCATTTAAGATTTTTATGGACTAAGACGAGTTACAATTGAGCTGAAACTGTTGGAAACAAAGTAATAATAATCAGTTTAAGGATTGTTGGTGAAAAGGCAAATAAGTAACCAGATTCCCCCTAGGGGGAACTCTGTGAAACTACAATGGATACAATGGCTGTGGAAGGAAAGTTACTAGTGGAAATCGAAAGGATGTTTCAATTGGTGGGAATCTTACAGGAGCAGAGTTTGGCCATGAACAAACAACTTGAGACTATGACCTTGGGAACAGGCAACTCTGCTCTTTGTATTGAGGACCTTAATGAGAAAGAATCCACAGCTGATTGGGAAACAATATCTACAGAGCTGGAAGAGACTAAACAACAAGAAAAAGAAGAAGTAATCCTGGGAAGTAATAACCAAAAGTTGACATCTGTGGAATACAAGCAAGGAGACGCTGGGAACATATTCACCACAAGTCTGCGAGAGATACAGAAGAAGAAGGAGGAGGCCCCAAGACAAAATGGAGTACAGGAATTCAAAATAAAGAAATATGATTGGGGCCTCCGTTTGGACTTAGACTTGGAAGAGATAGACTTTGTGGAAATACTTCAGCAGCCACCTTTGAATCTTCTTGTTGGAGGAGGACATACTTTGATGGTGAAAGAACTTTTCCCAGATCTGACGACTGCTGTAAAGGACTACCAACAGGACAGGCGGAGAGGAACGGAAATAGATTTGAAAGCCTCGGACGTGAGGAACCCAGGCTGAGAACTTCAAATTTGGATTTTTATTGGGAAGGGACAAAAACCGGGGATGGGAGGGAGGGAAGAAGAGACTCTTAAAAACTCTCAAGATTTTTAGGTTTGGTTAAGATGACTTTTAATTAAGATAAAATGAAAATCGATGGAAGAGAACTTAAGTCCAACTTATGAAAACTAATTTTTATTATAAAAAAAAGGAAATAAGATGAATAAGATTGTTAAGAGGAGAAATATCAACTTGCTGACATAATCTTGAAATTGGGATGCATTAGGGGGGGTGGGGGGAAGTCAGGGAACAAGGTTATGAAATGGGGATTTGCTGATTTTATACATGTTTTTGTCTTTGTTTTTTCTTTGTGTATGTTTTGTCTTTATAAAAGCAGAAAACCAAATAAAAATTTTATAAAAAAAAAAAAAAAAGAAAACTGAGTTTTTGTGCAATATAAAGGTAAAGGTAAAGGTACCCCTGCCCGTACGGGCTAGTCTTGCCAGACTCTAGGGTTGTGTGCTCATCTCACTCTATAGGCCGGGAGCCAGTGCTGTCCGCAGACACTTCCGGGTCACGTGGCCAGCGTGACATCGCTGTTCTGGCAAGCCAGCGCAGCACACGGAACACCGTTTACCTTCCCGCTAGTAAGCGGTCCCTATTTATCTACTTGCACCCGAAGGTGCTTTCGAACTGCTAGGTTGGCAGGCGCTGGGACCGAACGACAGGAGCGCACCCCGCCGCAGGGATTCGAACCGCCGACCTTTTGATCGGCAAGTCCTAGGTGCTGAGGCTTTAACCCACAGCGCCACCTGCGTCCCATGTGCAATATAAAACATTTCCCCAAAAGGTCATTCAAAATATTTTTGCTTGCAGAAAAGGGATTAAATGAATTGTATGAGCTAACTGAAAAGAAGCAACTGTTACTAGAGAAGTTGGCATCTACTAAGAAAGAACTACAAGAAGCTCAGGAACTTGCAGCTACTCAACCAGGGAGTGTTAGTGGTATGTATACTGTGATTTCTCTTGCTTCAACTACAAATATATGTTCACTGAATTAAGGTACTTACCTGCCAAGCAGTTTCACAAAGGCCAGAAGATATGCCTCCAGAATGGGCATTGAGCGCTCTCTAGTAACAGAATTGCTCTACAACAGTCTGTAGGCAGCCAGCAAGACCAGGGGGTGGATTGGGTCTGAAAGCATCACTTTCCTACCTTTGAAATCCTCATTACAGTTGAGTACCAAATAGTCTTTTTTGATAAAGGGGGTATATTCATGTAATAATAATAAAAGAAATGAATGTGGCCTATTTGTTTCGTATGTTACTGATAAAGAAACAAATTTGTCATATCACTTGCCGTATAATCATTTTTTGGCCATTCACTCCCCATTTGGAACTAATAGTTTCCCTCTTCTAGCCATAATTGGTTAGATGGATGCTGGTAGGGATATAAATACAATAAAATGAATGAATAAATAATTACATTGACTCCGCCACTATACCCAGTCAGCATCACCATTCCAATCCAATCCTGCCTTGCTGGCTGCTACTGATTCACATAGTTCCAGAAAGCTGAGAAAAGGGCATTGAGCACCAGCAGCCCTAGCCTACTAGTCCTAGTGGTGGCACTAGAATGATGCAGTGTGCATTTTTAGCAGGTGAAACCACAAGTACAACTGCTTCTCAGACTGAGGAGGTTGGTGTTGCCAGTCTTTGCATCATCATACTCAAATTTGGCAGAACACATTTTACAAGGCAACTTTGGGTGGACCAAGCTCATAAGAGGGGTTTGGGGAAGGAATCACACATTTAAGCCTAGGAAGCTGTGCACAATATTCCCAAGGAGCTATTTGCTTACCCAATTCTCAGTTGCAAAGACAGCCATTAGTCTCTAGCAACATTTGTCATTTGTACTGCAATTGTATTGCAATTTCTGATAGATATGTCAGCAAAATTCGATTCTGAGCTACAAAGACAGCCACAGCACTTTCCCAGAAAGGATCATGGGAGCTTTTAAACTCTCATTATTTCTGACTGATAGGGATTAACTCAGTTAATCCTGAGGCAATGGGTGTGTGCACAGGGGCCAAACTTGAGTTTTTTATATCTCAGTTTGGAGCCCACAAGACTGCCACAAGTTAAAACTCTGAGTTGGAAAAGTATGGGAGCTTAGTAGAATTCATGTGAGCATTCTCAACAACATCCTTAGTACACAAAGTCCAAATCTGGCTGAATGTCTTTGGTTGGCTCCAAAGTATTCAGGTGCAGAGCATGCACCCGCCCATGCCAAATATTTGATGAAATATTCCTCCTAACGTGACCATGTATGAATGTGGTAACTGATGGGAGGAGGGGGCATTTCATTCAGCTCAGTGAAGTGGCGCAAGAAACACCTGATAAATGCTAAGTATTCATATTAAATATATTCTTTCCATATATTAATATTTTTGTTATGAATTAGCCCTGAATTTTTTTTGTAGAGCATAAGCTGGCAGGAGTTTAGCTGAGCAAAAAAGACATCTGACTGTAGATCTTGAGGCAACTTTGGATGGTATACAAAATGTATATCGTCGTGCTTCAGAAAGAACTGTGTTTGTACGACCTACTGGTAAGTAGTGAATAAGTACTCTTAAAAAGTGGGGAGACATTCAGTTTGCTTCACATTTTAATGCAAAACCTACCTAATTTGCACTTCCTGAAACAATAGGTGAAAAGTG